GACAGGGGGGAACTCAGCCGTTCTTGTTCTCTTGGACTTATCGGCCGCGTTTGATACAGTGGATCACCAGATACTTCTATCAAGACTTCAGTTCCAGTATGGATTAAATGATACGGCTCTTCTGTGGTTTAGGTCCTACTTATCAAACAGGACTCAATATGTTGCTGTTCGTAATGCTCAGTCGGTGGAAGCTATTATTCTTTGTGGTGTACCACAGGGATCGGTTCTCGGTCCTGTATTGTTCTCTATGTATACCAAAGAACTTGGTGATCTGCTTTGTGAGAAAGCCACTAATCATCATCTTTATGCTGACGATACTCAGTTGTTTGATGGTATTACCATGGGCTATGACAACAGTTCTGGCTTGACCAGAATTGAAGATGCCATTGACCATATTGGTTCATGGATGTTCAATAACAAACTAAAATTAAATGAACACAAGACAGAGGGTATGATTGTTGGCACAAGAAACATGTTAGTAAAATCACAACATGTTGAGTTGAAAGTTGGAAACATGGTCATTCAGCCTTCTCTACATTTCAGAAATCTTGGCGTCCTACTCCAACTTGACCTCTCCATGAAGAAACAGATTCTGGATCTGTGCAGAAAATGTTACTTCCATCTCCGTAACATTGGACAGATCAGACATCTCCTGTCACAGGATGCTGCGGCTGCCCTGGTGAGAACACTGATTCTCTCACGACTTGACTATTGCAACAGCTTGTTGGTTGCAGCTTCACAAGAGTCCATCCAAAAGCTCCAACAAATCCAGAACACAGCTGCCCGCATAGTTACTCTCCAACCAAAACGCTGCCACATCACTCCTATCCTGTTGTCTCTTCACTGGTTGCCTATTGAGGCTCGCATTGACTATAAGATCCTTACACTTGCTTATCAATCCATTCATGGTATTGCACCAGTGTATCTTCAAGAACTCCTCTCTCCTTACATGCCAACAAGAACTCTGCGTTCATCCTCGGCTAATCTGCTCTATGTACCAAAGTGGAACCTAAAATCATTTGGCTGCAAGTCTTATCAGAACATGGCATCAGTCAAATGGAATTCCCTCCCTGATGAACTTAAGCTGTCTCCAACCCTTGAAAACTTTAAGTGCCATCTCAAAACCTTTCTTTACAAAAAGTTCTATGGACTTTAATAAATGCCTTATTGATTGTTAGCGCTATGAGCATACCTGGTGTGGAGTTTGGCGCTATACAAATGGACACACACACACACACACACATTTTATTTTACCAACAGAGCACAGAGACAAAGATAAAACTGTACCAGGGCCCATATTCTCGAAACGTTCGTAGCCCTAAGAGTTCTTAACATTGATCGTAGCCGATATGTTGGGTTTACGAAGTTCGTAGGGTTACGAACGTTTCGAGAATAGCTAGCCAGATGATGCTACGCCACGCCATACACCCCACCATACTGTACTATACAAATTGCACTGTACTGCACTATAATATGGCACCGCACCTCACCACACCGCACCTCACCACCTCACCACATCGCACCTCACCACACCTCACCACCTCACCAAACTGCACCTCACCACCTCACCACAGCGCACTTCAGCACACCGCACCTCACATCACCACACCGCACCTCATCTCACCGCACCTCACCACACCGCACTTCACCACACCGCACCTCACCTCACCTCACCACATCGCACATCTCACCATATAGCCATATTGTATTTCTACATGCGATACTGGACGATCGGGACACCATTGCGTTGTCGCCCTTACAAGAACAAGCACAAATGTAAAAGAAATTGAGTATTTGCTGAAACTTATATTTGTTGGGTAAGACTTTAGCGGGATTTCTGAAGGAGAGATAATCCTTAATTCCGAATATAGACTAAAACATACTCCACAAGATGAAAATATGTAAATGAAGACATTACCTTATCTTAAAGCAATTATTTGTCCTTGACACTAACCGAACTCGCCCTGTCACAAGGAGTAACAGCTACAAAGGCAATACTCCCTTTAAACTCCATCCCCCCTGGAGTTATCAATGTGGGCTGATCTATGTTATGTATTGTTACATACTTTGTAAGAGATTCTGTTGTACCTAGGAGTCCTGCTCGTCGCCTTAACTGCAACAACACAAGGGGAAAACTACTGTTCCGCTTGTAATTGTTGTTGTTTTCTATATCACTATATGGTTGAAACATTTGTTATCAAATGTGGGGGCGGTGGGGTAGCCTTGTGGTTAAATCGTCATTTAAGACCCGCGTTCGATTCCCCACTGTGTACAATGGGTGAGGCCCATTTCTGGTGTCCCCGGCCGTGATAAAGCTGGAGTATATAGCTAAACGCGGCATAAAAGTAAACACAGTCACTCACTACCAGATGTAAATGCAGATGGTACATGCAAGGGTTTATGAAATACACCATAACGCTAGGAAATCTGAAAACACGGGGGGAATGAGGGGGGGGTTCAATGTGGTTTTGGGGGTTTTAGGTTTGGAACACACACACACCCCCCTCGCCCTCCCGATCCGCCAATGTTATGTAGTCAACATGGACACACTTTATGTTAAGCAACTTGTTATTTTGTGAGTGCGACGTTTGCATACAGATCGTATCGTCGCTACTCCAAATTAATAGAGTTGCTTACCATAAGGTTCATCACAAGAGTCCTTCCCAACTTATAAAATGCCGCTCAAAGAATATTGTATACTATTGTAATCATGTCGCACATTTTCAATGTAGACACCTTACCTCGTGCTCTGAGTTTCCAACTTATTGGCATTTCTGGCACTGTTCGAGTGCTCGACACAACTAAATGCTGACTCTTCATTCTGACACGACTTAATCTGTTCCAGCATTTCCTTGTTGTTGCGTAAGATATGAATATACACAGCTAGCCCACGATCGAGTCCAGGAAGCATGGCATCTTAGTTATAAATAACACCACACTGAAAGGGTAAAGGGTCACGGTGACCCCACAAGGGTTAACATTTCGTATCGTGTATCAGGTGTCACTGGCGTCTAATCACGGGCTGGTTAAACAGGCAGCATCAGCGGTTTCGCCTTACAGCGCCGCAGGGAACAGCTCAGTCTCCTGAACGATCTACAGTACAAGACATGGTGAACGTATCTATGAATGTAATAAACACACGCACTTGCCCCGCACTGGTGAACTTGTACTTCTTGCCTTTTCATCACATCCACACTCGAGTCCATTCTTATATATGTTCATGGTCCTGGGTAGGATAGTTGTTTTTTGCTTTTATGTCCCAAAATGAAATTACATGTTACAAATGACTGACTGTGTATTTGGAACAGTTAGCTGCCATTTAACATGGCATGTGGCCTCATCACAGTTTCTTAGTCTCACGTCAGACAGGAACGTGTCGATATGCTCCACGAAATCCTAGATTATGCCCAGTTTGTGACACTTACTGATGTGTGTGTAATGTGATGAATGACTACTTTGTATGTGCTTATAGCATCTACTAATGTAACTTTGATATCTCGGCCTTCGCGGTTTGTAAGTGTAACATATGGTTATGGTTAAAGCATGTATACTAATTCTATCTTTTATTGTGGTGTAAACGAACATATTATGTATCAGTTTGTGAACACGGGTCAATGCCCTGTAAGTTTCGCGAATAATATGTACACCCAGGTGTTCATTTGGAACCTATATCAATATCACACATTTGGTTCCATGTACATTGTCTATTTATTGAAACGTATGTTATTCAGTTGAGTGTACGACAATGCAAAGAGGTGCGCCATCATACAGTGCTGAAGATGGTGTGAACACTATTGTCAAGAGAACACTCATCAGTCGATATAACAGTCAAATCATCTGAATGACAAACCGACGCAATTGACGTATTCCTTTAAACTTTGTTCCCTGAATAGCCCCTCCCCTCCCCGACACTTCACTCTTGCGCAACAGATGTCCCCGCGACTGTGAGAACGGGTCACGTCCCAAACACATCAGTATGACTTACACCACGCGTTTCACCCCAGACACGAGCACTCATATTTCTCGACCTCTCGCCAAAGTTCAGCGATATTTCTACGCCGAGATCTATCCTTTGTGATTCTGTCGTAAACTTAATAGGACGCCATCTGTTCCGGCCATTTTCAGCCTTGGGTTTCTTGTGTGGAGTTTGGCAGCGGATGACACAAGGTTAGTATTGTTTTGTGTTTGTGATTGTATGGAATGGTGTTAAGGTCATCTGTGGGCGTGTTTTCATGTAATCGTGTATATAGGACAAGACATGGTCTTATTACGTTGCAAAGAAAAGGAACATGTGAAAAAATGCATCCTTTTAGGATTGCCATCAGTAGGACCTTGGTCATGGGCTCAACATGTTATATGATATATAGGTTATATAGGTTAATTAGGTTACCAAAATAGTATGAGATAAGACTATTTTCAGGCAAGGATTATGTGCATGATTGGGATGTGTACAGCTACAGAGATGCAAACATGGATGAATCTCCTGTTCACGATAATAGGATTGCCCGTCGATTTGAGAAATAAAAGTACATACACATGTATATAGCATATATAGGTTACAGCTTTGGTAAAATGTTTCAATAATTCGATCGACGAAACCTATTTGTTGAATATAATAACCCCACTGAAGTATGGCCGTTGTATGGCAAGTAGGACACGAGAGATAGAGTCAAGATGCACACACGCCTAAAGGAAGGAGGGATGACTCGACTCTTCCTTCCTTCCAGTAATATCCATGATAGAGATAGCACGACTCGCACAACGTGAGCCGAGTGCGTGAGAAGTTGTTCACGATAAGTGTGGAGTGACAAACGATTCCTTATTGTACCATTGTCCCTCCCTTTGTGTCGTTACATTTGTAAATGTGCCACTGCGTTTGTGAATGTGTCCCTTCGTAGGTAAATGTGTCGTTATATTTGTAACTGTGCAACTGTAATTGTAAATGTGTCCCTCCGTAGGTAACTGTGTCGTTATATTTGTTAAATGTGTCTCTGCATTTGTAGATTCTGTCGTAAAGTTAATAGGACGCCATCCCATGCGCAAGTCTGTGAATATCAACATGGTCCGCCATTTTCTCAGCCTTGGGTTTCTTGTGTGGAGTTTGGTGGCAGCGGAGGACACAAGGTTAGTAATGTTTTGTGTTTGTGATTGTATGGAATGGTGTTAAGGTCATCTGTGGGCGTGTTTTCATGTAATCGTGTATATAGGACAAGTCATGGTCTTATTACGTTGCAAAGGCTGCAGGACACTCCACGTGAAAAGCAACATGTGAAAAAAATGCATCCTTTTAGGATTGCCATACAGCTGTAGGACCTTGGTCATGGGCTCAACATGTTATATGATATATAGGTTATATAGGTTAATTAGGTTACCAAAATAGTATGAGATAAGACTAGGTTTTCAGTGAATTGGTAAACTCAGTTGTCTATGTGTAATTGTTGCAAAGACAGCTGTAGTTATGTTATGCCTTTTGTTAATTATATATAAGGATTATGTGCATGATTGGGATGTGTACAGCTTGACACAGAGATGCAAACATGGATGAATCTTCATTGATAGAAATTTCATTACACCATTATAGAAAGGTTGCTGCATCAATACATTGGTCTTTTGCATAGATATCTCAATGTTACATCAATACCTGGTCTACTACATCGACTACCCAATAACTGGTCTATTACATCAATACCTGGTCTACTACGTCGATACCTCAATACCTGGTCTAGTACATCAATTGATGTAGTAGAACAGGCATGAGGGAATTTGATGTAATTCAGGTGATAAAAACAGGTGATAAAGTAATAAACCAAACAGACCAGGTGTTGATGCAATAGACCAGGTATTGAGGTATCGACGTGGTAGACCAGGTATTGATGTAATGGAAGAGGTATTGAGGTGTCGATGTAGTAGACCAGGTATTGATGTAGTAGACCAGGTATTGAGGTATCGACGTAGTTGACCAGGTATTGATGTAATAGACCAGGTATTGAGGTATCGACGTCGTAGACCAGGTATTGATGTAGTAGACCAGGTATTGATGTAATAGAACAGGTATTGAGGTATCGACGTCGTAGACCATGTATTGATGTAGTAGACCAGGTATTGATGTAATAGACCAGGTATTGAGGTATCGACGTCGTAGACCAGGTATTGATGTAATAGACCAGGTATTGAGGTATCGACGTCGTAGACGAGGTTTTGATGTAATAGACCAGGTATTGAGGTGTCGACGTCGTAGACCAGGTATTGACGTAATAGACCAGGTATTGAGGTATCGACGTCGTAGACCATGTATTGATGTAATAGACCAGGTATTGAGGTGTCGATGTAGTAGACCAGGTATTGATGTTATAGACCAGGTATTGAGGTATCGACGTAGTTGACCAGGTATTGATGTAATAGACCAGGTATTGAGGTATCGACGTCGTAGACCATGTATTGATGTAATAGACCAGGTATTGAGGTATCGACGTCGTAGACCAGGTATTGATGTAATAGACCAGGTATTGAGGTGTCGATGTAGTAGACCAGGTATTGATGTAATAGACCAGGTATTGAGGTGTCGATGTAGTAGACCAGGTATTGATGTAATAGACCAGGTATTGAGGTGTCGATGTAGTAGACCAGGTATTGATGTAATAGACCAGGTATTGAGGTGTCGATGTAGTAGACCAGGTATTGATGTAATAGACCAGGTATTGAGGTGTCGACGTAGTTGACCAGGTATTGATGTAATAGACCAGGTATTGAGGTATCGACGTAGTTGACCAGGTATTGATGTAATAGACCAGTTATTGGTCTATACACATGTATATAGGGTACACTTTAGGTTACAGCTTTGGTAAAATGTTTCAATAATTCGATCAACGAAACCTATTTGTTGAATATAATAACCCCACGTTAGTAAATTTGGGTAATACAGTCATTTTGTGTGGTGGAAGTATGCCCGTTGTATGACAAGTAGGACACGAGAGATGGAGTCAAGATGCACACACGCCTGAAGGAAGGAGGGATGACTCGACTCTTCCTTCCTTCCAGTAGTATCCATGATAGAGATAGCACGACTCGCACAACGTGAGCCGAGTGCGTGAGAAGTTGTTAACGATAAGTGTGGAGTGACAAACGAGTCCTTAGTGCACCATTGTCCCTCCCTTTGTGTCGTTATATTTGTAAATGTGCCACTGCGTTTGTGAATGTGTTCCTCCGTAGGTAAATGTGTCGCTACATTTGTAAATGTGTCCCTCTGTAGGTAAATGTGTCGTCATATTTGTAAATGTGCCACTGCGTTTGTAAATGTGTCCCTCCGTAGGTAAATGTGTCGTTATATTTGTAAATGTGCCACTGCGTTTGTACATGTGTCCCTCTGTAGGTAAATGTGTCGTTATATTTGTAAATGTGCCACTGCGTTTGTGAATGTGTTCCTCCGTAGGTAAATGTGTCGCTGCATTTGTAAATGTGTCCCTCTGTAGGTAAATGTGTCGTCATATTTGTAAATGTGCCACTGCGTTTGTGAATGTGTCCCTCCGTAGGTAAATGTGTCGTTACATTTGTAAATGTGCCACTGCGTTTGTGAATTTGTCCCTCTGTAGGTAAATGTGTCGTTATATTTGTAAATGTGCCACTGCGTTTGTAAATGTGTCCCTCCGTAGGTAAATGTGTCGTTATATTTGTAAATGTGCCACTGCGTTTGTACATGTGTCCCTCTGTAGGTAAATGTGTCGTTATATTTGTAAATGTGCCACTGCGTTTGTGAATGTGTCCCTCCGTAGGTAAATGTGTCGTTATATTTGTAAATTTGCCACTGCATTTGTAAATGTGTCCCTCCGTAGGTAAACACCCATTCTATGTTATGGGTCTGAAATCTGGGGCACATCCTACTGTAATACTATTGAATCTGTCCATATTAAATTTTGTAAATATGTTTTGAAACTTGGAAAATCCACCTGTAACAATATGGCCTTGGGTGAATGTGGAAGAGTGCCTTTACAGTTTACTTATACAACCAGTGCAGTGAAATACTGGTGCAGACTTCTAAACATGCCTGACTATAGATTACCAAAACAATGTTATTTTATGCTATTATATCTAGTTATTGAATCATTTAAACAGAGACTACATGATAATTTATTCCAATCTTGGCAGTCATCTTTGGACAGTAGCTGTAAATGTTTTTACTATTTGTGAAAGTGTCCCTCCGTAGGTAAATGTGTCGTTATATTTGTGAATGTGTCCCTCTGTAGGTAAATGTGTCGTTATATTTGTAAATGTGCCACTGCATTTGTGAATGTGTCCCTCCGTAGGTAAATGTGTCGTTATATTTGTGAATGTGCAACTGAATTTGTGAAAGTGTCCCTCCGTAGGTAAATGTGTCGTTATATTTGTGAATGTGTCCCTCCGTAGGTAAATGTGTCGTTATATTTGTAAATGTGCCACTGCATTTGTAATTGTGTCCCTCCGGAGGCAAATGTGTCTCTCCGTTTGTGAACGTCGGTACACTTGACAATGTGTCCCTCCGTTTGGCAATGTGTCGTTATGTTTGTAAATGTGTCGCTGCTTTTGGAGTTGTGTCATTCAATTTGAAGATGTGTCGTTTCATTGCTAAATGCCTCCCACAGTGTGTAAATGTGTCTCGCATTTGTAAATGTGTCCCTCCGTTTGGAATGTGAATGTGTCGTTCCGTTGGTAAATGTGTCCCACATTTTGTAAAATGTCCCTCCGTTTGTAAAGGTGCCATTCCGTTTGACAATGTGTCGTTCCATTGCCAAATGTCTCCCTACTGGAAATGGGTTCTGTTTGTAATTTTCCGTGCTATTAGGAGACAACAGGTTGATGTCTTGGTAATCTTTAACTGATTTGCTCTAATATTAAAAGGTCGTAAAAGACACGCGTTTTTTTGTATCAAAGGATAATTGCAATTCTGATACACTGAAGCACTTGAACCCACCAGTACACTCAGTAAATCCCTGTGGGGCGCCCCGTTAACTGGCGATAAATCATCGTGATGCACTGGTTCTCTGGGTAAGGCGTGATACGGCTGGACCTCTAGGGAAGGCGCAGCAGGGTCTTTGATCAAGGAAAGAGTACTCTTCTATCAGTTCTTGAGCGTAGAAAGTTATAGTATGACCAGATATTATTGAGACTTTTAGGAATATGTTTAATTGGATTTCTAGTATAAACAACCTTGACCAGCTATCAAGTGCTTGGTTTCATTCAAGAGAGACAACTCCGTTAATCCTTTTGCATTAGTTTGTGAAGAGTAATCCCCTTTGTTTACTTGCTAGCAGACGACATTTTCAGTGATCCTCAGTATGGATGATTTAGAGAAGAGGAAGTTGATTTTAGAGTATGATAACAAGGACGTCAGATCAGCTAAAGTGATTTCAAGTAGAAAGGTAGAAAATTGACTGTCGGTGACAGGAGGCGGCTTGGTATTCTTCTTTCTAAAACAAACGAAGGAGTTTAGAAAAAAAAACGGCTGGATATGATTGATAGAGGAACTGTGGCTGTCTGTAAGGAGACAATTAGAACTGAGCTGCATGCAATGGGTTGGCAGAAAAGTCGAGGAATTCCATCACCGATCATGAAACCTGAACAAAAGGAGCGAAGGTTTAACTGGTGCTTACAGCATAGAATTTTTAACTGGGACAATGTGATTTTCTCAGATGAAAGTTCTGTGTGGCTGTTTCCTAATACACTGAAATTCTGGACCAAACAAACTGAAAAACCTTTGTATCAGCACCCAAAGTACAGTCCGAATTTTAACGTGTGGGGTGGCATATCTGTGTTAGGGGCAACGCCCCTCTGTGTATTTGAAGGGAATATGAACAGTGAGCGGTACACAGATATTCTCGAGGGACATTTACTTCCATCTGCTCACGTGTTCTATGGAAATTTTTGGATTTTCCAGCAGGACAACGACCCAAAACATCGTTCAAAGCATTCACAGGCCTGGTTTCGGACCCAAAATATGACATTATTAGATTGGCCAAGCCTTAGCCCTGACCTAAATCCAATAGAAAATGTTTGGGGACTTATGAAGGAAAGTGTCAATAAGAAAAATCTGACAAATATTGCTGAAATGAAAGAAGAGGCGGTCCGATATTGGGACAGCATGGACCACGACTTTCTAACTCCTTTGATCAGTAGTATGCCCCGCCGCATTGAAGCCTGCATTGCTGCCCCTGGTGACTGGACAAAATACTAACTGTTCACCTGTCTTTGAATCTGGAGTTATGTTCTGCTAATATCCCCATTACAATCTTTAAATTCTCAATAATTTCTGGTTGTACTGTATATATTTAATCGACTCGATTACGTCTTATGTTAAAGTGAAATCCTCGAGTTGAGACAGATAGCGATTACAAGGTGTATGTTTTTATGAAGACTCCTAAAGGAGAGAGAGAGAGAGAGAGAGAGAGAGAGAGAGAGAGAGAGAGAGAGAGAGAGAGAGATGAGAGAGCGCGACAGAGACAATGAGAGTGAGAGAGATACAAAGGTTACTAGTATATGTTTTACAAGAACTCACTAAGAAGAGAGAGAGAGGTTATAATTACTATGTATATGTTCTTACGAAGACTCTTTAAGGAGTATTTATCTATTTTAACGTGGAGTGCCCTCGGGGTTGTTGTCATTGCAGCCCTGTCTACTTCATTGTTGCCCCAAACATCATCCACGTCGACACAGATGAAGTAGTTACCGTAACGACGTACGGCGTTCAAGAAGAGGTGACGATACGGCTCTCGTTGCTGGATTTTCCGAAAAGTACAGTTGTCCATTATGAACAGGAGGTCACGGTATCCTCAAGTATGTACACGTACCTTGTGCAGCGCCATCTGGAGTAAAGTATTATATTCATGACTAAAACACTGGCCCCCTGAGGCGCAGTAGACACATGTACAAGTGTTGCACTACACGTAGCAGGTGGTGTTCCCAGAGTATCAGTTGACGTCAAATACAAGCGTCGTTTAGCTTGTACTCGATGAACCCGTGCCGCCACGTACACCTGTTGCAAATATACGAGATGATTAAATAATATTTACATCACATATTTATGTAATTTCACACAAACTAGATGACCGCAATACCGGTAAAGATGTGGGTTAGAATTGATCAACAGCAACACATGCTTGTCGAAAGAGGCGACTAACGGGTTCAGGTGGTGAAGCTCACTGAAGTGATGGATGAATGTTATCTTATCCAAGATGCGTGGATCGATGTTCATACACTCAGTCACCGGAATGTCTGGTCGAGACTTGATTATTTACAGACATCCGTTATATAGCTGGAATATGGCTGACTAAGTCTTTAAACAGCTAATGAAAACAAGTACTGATGTTTAACATACACTACATGACGTCACATACTGTTAAACATATACTAGATGACGTCAGATACTGTTAAACATATACTAGATGACGTCAGATACTGTTAAACATATACTATATGACGTCAGATGCTGTTAAACATATACTATATGACGTCAGATGCTGTTAAACATATCCTAGATGACGTCAGATACTTATGGCAAACATATACTAGATAACGTCGGGTTCTAAGGTGAGACATATAGCAGATGCCTTCAGATATTAATATTGAACATATGCTAGATGACGTCAGGTACTTATGTTAAACATATATCAGATGACGTCATTTATTTAAGTTGAACATTTACTAAAACTAAAAACCAATTACTGGGGTTGTGTTCAGCATATACCAGATGACGTCAAGTATTTATATTGTTTTACGTGTACCAGATGACGTCAAGTATTAATATAGAGATTATTACACGAGTATGTGTGTCATATGGCTTATACGAAACGAGTGTAAAATTTTGTATTGCAATACACAATTTTCTACGAGTTTTGTATAAGTCATGACACATTTGCTCGAGTGTTATACTTTCTTTATTATCAATATTATTCATGTACATTTGTGCAGTAAAACACAGTAAGCAAGTGTGACCGCCCACGTCATTGACGTCACGTTCAATTGTTTAATGACGTCACAGACGACGAAACACAGAAACAATGGTTGTTCGTCAAAAGTGAAATGTGCACATATGATATATATGACACTGGTTATGTTTCACCATACGGGTAATAAATTGTTTTACGTGTGCCAGATGACGTCAAGTAGTAATATTGTTTTACGTACCGCATGACGTCAAGTAGTAATATTATTTTACGTACCGGATGACGTCATGTAGTTTTATTGTTTTACGTACCGGATGACGTCAAGTGGTAATATTATTTTACGTACCGGGTGACGTCAAGTAGTAATATTGTTTTACGTACCGGATGACGTCAAGTAGTTTTTTTATTGTTTTACGTACCGGATGACGCCAAGTAGTAATATTATTTTACGTACCAGATCACGTCAAGTAGTTTTATTGTTTCACGTACCGGATGACGTCAAGTAGTTATATTATTTTACGTGTACCAGATGACGTCGTCAACGCCACCATCCGCCTCCCGCTGTCAGCCCTGCCGCAGACCAAACTGGACCCCTTCTACGTGTCACTGGTGGCGGAGTGTACGTCCCTGGCGCTGTCGTTCAGGCAGGAGGTGCCAGTACTGGTGGATGACAGTCCGGGTGTCATCTACATACAGACGGACAAGCCCGTCTACACCCCCGGGCAGACCGGTGAGTACCGACCGCCACTGAATCTTGTAAACGTCGATTGCACGCCGAGGATTTTTCAGTGTTACAACGACCAGTGAAGATCCGGGTTAGAATTGGTCTTCAGCAACCCATGTTTATCGTAAGAGGCGACTACTGGGATCGGGTGGTCAGGATCGCTGGCTTCGTTGAGACATGTCATCGTGTCGCAATGGCGTAGATTGGTGCTCATGCTGTTGATCGCTGGATTATCTGGTCCAGACGCGATTATTCACAGATCGCCGCCATATAGCTGGAATATTGCCAAGTGCGGCGTGAAACAACATACAAACAGTGTTACAATGTCGTCGCCTGAAAACCAGAGTGTACTAAGTGACAAAAACCTATTTTCGAGAAATTCGATCTTGAAGTTTAGGACAACAATATCTTCTAAACTTTTCAATCAAATTATTTTAAATTTAGCACATGCATGTGACATGTTAAACAGTATCAGAAAATATCAAATTATATCCTTAATCTATTGAAATTAATAGGAAATTTACCAAAAATGATTGAGATAGAACACTTGACCTAAGAAAATCGTGGTTTTTCTCAAAACCAAAGTGTTCTAAGTGTAAAAAAACACAGCTAAAACTCAGCTTTATTATTATTATATCGATATTTGATTGTTATTTATTTTCCCCCAGGTTGTATATTTGTCGTTTAAACCTGTTTTACTTTCATAAGGACTATATTTAATTAAACAAAGCAGAAATAAGAACAGAGTTAAAATGTTCCATTTCCATGATGACAATCACTTCAAAATTGGTAAATCTCAATGTCAGGTGATCACATTGTGCTTGCTCATTGGTCAATTGATAACTTAGAACACTCGAAAATTAACACCATGTGATTTTTCATGGAGACAGAGCAAAGTTTGTGTTTGAAAAACCACTTTCAAAGCTAGATAGCACTGTAAAAAGTTGCTAGAGTAATAGATTATGCTCTAAAACCTACCCTGAGCATATTAACTCTAATTTTGTCAAAAGTGGACTTAGAACACTCTGGTTTTCAGGCGACGATGTGGTTATGCTCTACGACATATCATAATATGGAAACTGTACTGTTGAGTACGTATGTCACTGTCAAGTCTGTACACAGACGCTTCACAGTTAACAAACAAATGCATATGAACAGTTAGCAAAACAATCGGTTTAGTTTTCTTGTCATGTTTCATGAAAATATATCACTGAATGATAGGTTTGTTTGTTTATAAAATTATTTTTTGTCCGAAGCATATTTCAAAAACGTGTATATTTGGTAGACAATCTCTGAACTTAGTACTAGATCACTGGATCTTTTGCATGTTTGTGATGTTAATGGCGTATTGTAGTACCTTCACGTAACACTGGTGTTGACGACGTACCAGTGTTGTTTCACACATACACGGGATGATGTCAGCCAAACGGACACACCTGGATCCATAACATACCGTGAATTTACATAATGGACCCACACGCCATCTTAATTCCACTTGGTTAAATGATAGCATACAACTGATGCTGAAATATTTGAGTTTTTGGCAATCCAATTCGTTTTATCTAATTCTGACTGTGTGCCACCTGTGGAACAGAATATGCTCACCGATCACACACGCTCGTCACTATTTGATAGTGATTCACAAGCACATGGCTGTCACAAAGCCGGGTCGCAAGGTCTCTGTGTTTTGTTGAGAATCCTTTGGACATTGGTGAAGGATTCGCCGCTTTCATACATACTATGTGTTATATATACCATGTTGGATGTTCGTATGAAGACAGCAGTTGTTTGTTCCAGTCAATATCAGAGTGGTGCCGCTCAATGACGCGCAGCTTCCTTCCCAATGGCCTGTACAGATCGACGTCAAGGTAGGAACAGCATTGCTGGCTATGTACATGTCAACCAGTGTCTATATTCAAGGACTTAAGAGGTCACGGGCCTATAGTACATAAGTGCAATACTTATGAACGCGACGTTCAACCCCACTTTACTTCACATCCTCCCCGGATGTTGGGGTAGTCTAATGGTTAAATCGTCCATTCTTCACGCTGAAGACCCGGTTCGAGTCCCCACATGGGCACAATGTGTGAAGCCGTGGTGAACTTCTGGTGTCCCCGCCGTGATATTGCTGGAATATTGATAAAAGCGACGTAAAACCATTCTCACTCACTCACATCTTCACCACCTGACGAATGTAGGATTTCTTCCCTGCCCGTAACATATTTGATCTGGAAACATGCCTTCCAACAGTTTCTCTCTATTGTGTGCCTTGTCCTTATTCAGATGCGACAGTATATTCTAACAACAAACCATAATTTCCACTTCCAAGATTTTAAATGTTTCTGTTGGGGAAAAAGTCATTATATTATTACGGAAGTATTAGAAGTGAGCTGGTGAAACTTTGATCCGATTACGTTCTTTATGTGTGAACACTCATTAGACTTCCTTTCACTGTAACATGTGTGTATCTGACCCTCACATTGACCACTCCCAGAACCCGGACAACGTAGCGGTCAGCCGGTCTGTGAGTGAGGGGAACCAAAGCTTCGTGACGGACAAGCTGAAGATTCCAGACAACCCTGTGTATGGTAACTGGACAGTGGAGGCCAAGTTCTACAACATGGTGCGTTAATGTTGTCTTTTAGCTGCATTTAGAGGTTGTTATGGATGACCAAGACATTTTATGGATATATACTTCTTTACCTGATAAAGGGATCTGTAATGATCCTGAAACGTTGTGTGGGAAAGAATAAAGAAGCATAAATACATACATTTTCTTGGTCATGGTACGTTAAGTTTTATATTTCCTGTTAAGCCTTATACAACCGTCTTAGTCTAAAGATAGAGCGGTGTTTCAATCCCCAGCGCTAAAAGAAGGTGTTAATCAACGCCTGCCTGCCGTCCCATATCACATGGATAAACCACACACATTTCACCTGTTTCACCTTACACTAGGTGCGCGGTGGGCGAGCTGGCTAGTAATCCAGCGAGCTTGAGGTGCCGGGATCGAGCCCACCTGTGACCGAGTGTAAAAAGCTTGGAGTCAACTTTGTGTGCAGACTCTTTCAGTGTTGTCACAACCCCTAGTGTACAGTACACAACCCTGTGCACTTAAAGGAACCCACGAATCCGTTGGTATTTGACCAGATGGTGGCCACATGAATACGTGCAAACATCTAGTTGCGGGTACGGTAACGTGCAGTAAACTTAGACAAAGTACAGTGACTATGTGTACCTCGTAAGGATGGGAATGCCATATTAACTCGGTGCGCCTGGTGGCTGCAAGAGTTGTATACTCCCCAGGGAGTTGAGATAATACGAAGTGCAATTGAGACTGACATCCTATGATCGAGGGAAAAACAAAGCGCCTTTGAGCAGCCTAGCTGGAACTCGGCGCTATATAAATAGATAATAATAATAATAAAAATACCTGTCGTTTCAGTTGGAGGTTGTTGTTAAAGGAAGGCATCGATGACTCAATCACAACGCGACTAATGCCCATACCTAGGCTTGTGTTATTGCTGTACTTTAACCGTTGTTAAATGTTGTTCCTATGAACATGCCCTAGCCAGTAGTTACACAAATAGTATCGCTGCAGGAAGGGAATCAATCGTTCACGTGGTACCTGCAGCCTTTGGGTACCGATCGATGGCGCCCTGTAATTACATACATGTTTTGTTTTACCTCAAACCAACAGAGCCTACGATGTCATATCCTATAACATGAATAGGAAGTTACGTGAGGCAGGGGCGTTATATTGCTTCAATTGAACGTAAAACACATTGAAGGTAAAACACATTGAAGGTAAAACACATTGAACGTAACACACATTGAACGTAAAACACATTGAACGTAAAACACATTGAACGTAAAACAAGCTACAGATACATTGAAACATAACTTCACTTTGTATGTTTCAGTTGAAAACTTCGTCCAAAGTACGTTTTGAAGTCAAAGAATATGGTAAGAAGTAGTCTTGTTATCTCAGTTAGTCTGGTTCGATGTAATTAAATGTGACATCGGTACAGTCAGGAATGAATGGTTTCGAACCTTCTGTTTCAGTGTTGCCGACGTTCACAGTGAAGTTTGACGTAGCGGCGCAACACAGAGTTATCCTCCCGGATACGGAACACTTCAACACAACACTTCAAGCAACGTAAGGCCTTATGTCATGTTGGTTGTTCAGTTCAGACTTCCTCAACGGGGACAGAGGCTGTTAAAAACGTCTACGCTTAGGCTCAAATGGGAAATGATTCTCGGGTATCGCCGCCTCATTTATTTTCAAAGCCAATGGAAACAGTCCCCTACTCAATCCTCACGATTCCATAATCCTCACACTTGTATATTCGGACGGTTTAACTGAAGTGGTAAGGTCCGTATTACAGAGGTTTCATAGTGTGTGTTGTCTGGAGACATCCACACTTGAATACCCTTACATGTATGTGTAAGAGGACATTTCCCTTTCTCTGGTAGAGTGAGTGAGTCCCGTTTTACGCTCTTTTAGCAATATTTCAGCAATATCACGGCAGGTGCTCTTGTAGAAGATACCTATGAGGTTCCCAGACCATCAACTTAAAATACACAGGTGTGAATTTCAAATTCAAATTATAATCTCAGAGGTTAAATGTGATATACCTACGCTTAAGGGAAAATCACATTTCTTGGCAAATCGTTAATGTTAGTAGCATATTAATGTGATGCTGTTCTCATTTTCAGATATGTATTCGGGAGACCAGTCAAGGGTCACGTGACAGTGACATATGGACTTGTATGGCACGGACACGTGTTTCCTATGGGAAAACAACGTAATATTTTGGTAAAATTAAAGAGATATAATAACTATTTTTTTAAACGGACATAACTGCTCTCAATGTGTAGACTCAGTGATTTGTTTGGATGTCTTGGAAAGTATTTTGAAACGGTCTTTGTTGTTGACAGCATCTCCCATTGTTTCCAGCTGAACAGTACGGGAATGGCGGAGTTCCACGTGAAGACGGACCAGGTGAAGCTTCCGGTGGAGAGTGTCTGGTTTCCTAATGGAGGAAGGTTATATTTAGAAGCTGATGTCACGGAAGAGGCTTCTGGGAAAGTGGAACACGCTATTGACCAATCTGTGGTTTTTGCGGAAACTGCTTATGTTTTCAAATTTACAAGATCCAGTAGATTCTTCAAACCAGGACTTCCCTATATACTGAGAGTAAGTTACGTGTGATATTCTCATATATCTATAAAGAACAGTTGATATATTTCACAGTCAGGTTTGAACCAATTTTCGATTCTGAAATAGCGTCAGGTATTGCATTGTTTACTCATATCACCGGTGATCTGAGATCAGTACGGACGAGACACACTCGATTGCTTGGTACAGGGTATTTATACAATGCCGTCATAGATGTGGAATTGTGATGTGTGTGTCCTTAAAGAACAACTTTACAAATCCATTGTCGTGCTGCACTGACATTCATATGTTTTATTGTCTTGTCCGGCAGATGCTATATTCTTTTGACACACACTTCTGTTGTCTTGACACGTCTTCTATTGTCGTGACATGAAGTTGTCATATTGTCCTCTCATACAGGTGTTATATTGTCCTCACATACAGGTGTCATCTTGTCCTCAAATACGGGTGTCATATTGTCCTCAAATACAGATGTCATATTGTCCTCACATACAGGTGTCATATTGTCCTCAAATACAGGTGTTATATTGTCCTCACATAAAAGTGGTATATTGTCCTCACATACAGGTGTCATATTGTCCTCACATACAGGTGTCATATTGTCCTCAAATACAGGTGTTATATTGTCCTCACATACAGGTGTTATATTGTCCTCACATACAGGTGTTATATTGTCCTCACATACAGGTGTTATATTGTCCTCACATACAGGTGTTATATTGTCCTCACATACAGGTGTTATATTGTCCTCACATACAGGTGTCATATTGTCCTCACATACAGGTGTCATATTGTCCTCACATACAGGTGTTCTATTGTTCAGGTGGATGTGATCCGCGCTAACGGAGAGCCAGCGCGTGGGTTGACTGTGGTTGTGGAGGGTGAGGCGGCCGTGAGGGAGGAGAGCATCCAGCTTACCCCCTGGAATGGGGGAGAGAGGCGAAACTTCAAATCTGATGACAATGGAAGGTTGACGCTTGACTTCCGGCTACCCGCAGACGCTAAGAACATTCACTTCATGGTGAGGATCACTCTCCAAATACAAGAGTATCGAAACGGTTCCTTCACGTACAATATCTTCCACTGGATGTTGCAGATAAGGTTTCTAATCAGTCGTTTGATATGTCTGGATAATGCAAACCTCTTTTAAGATCCGTTCGACAAAACAGTGGAACAGGGAAACTAATTGGAAATACATGGGTATTTTTAAAGTTTGCACTCCGGTCGTAAACTTTGATTGGTAATACTTGGTCACAGTAGTGAAGGTATCACAAACACTTCCTGTGTCCTGCACAAACTCCGTTTCCATGATCTAAATCACACCCAACTCTGTTTCAGCTGAAGTCCAAGGCAAAAGGCCTGGCCCGAGCGTCTGAGACGGTGGCCCATTTCGGCGCGTCCCCCTACTTCTCCCCCTCAGACACCTACATGTTGGTGAAGGCCAACCCTACAGCAGGGGTGAGTGGCCGCTATAACCCGACGCATTACAGCTCATCTCAGCGTTGACCAAATTCACTGTCGTCACAGAGTTCGATACTTTAACGGTTAACCTTTTAACCTGGAAAACCTTAACTAAAATATACTTTATAGGAAAACGTTTTCAGCGGAAACGTACTTAATTAATGATATCGCATGAGTGTTACTGACATCTAAAAGATTTTACATAGTGATATAGCTACAGTCGAACTTTCATCACAATATCTTGGAAGACTATTGTGTCGTCATCGGTTATCGTTACGTCAGAACTAGAGTGAGTGAGTGAGTATGGGTTTACGCCGCTTTAGCAGTATTCCAGCATTATCACTGCAGGGGTCCCAAATACGGGCTTCACACATTGTACCCATGTGGAGAATCGAACCTAGGTCTTCGGCGTGCGTAGAAATTAGAAGACATCGCTAATGTCTGGAGCAAACTAGCTGCACCTTTTACACTGAACACATCGCTGATCACTATTAACAAAATTGGGAAAAGTTCAAAGAAATACATTACATCTTAAATGATAAATAGATTGTCACCCTGGTGGCTTTCGGTATTGCATATGCATCAGGACAAATGGGTATAAGTTACAAGTTGTGACATTTTTGAGACTCGTACTGATAGATCTGATATCAAAAGAATGAGATTCTTGTGTTTTGTGAAAGTCCGTCTGACGTGGAATCTCTTGGGTTACACTATTCCTTGGACCTCACGCACTTGTCAGTCGACCAATTCATCACAAGAAAAGCGACCATCAGTCCACTAATGAATATATATCAAACAATACATCTCTGATTACATGTATGATATACGCTGTTGAGTATAGCTCATATTAATGGCTCTATTCATGTGATATAATTCTAGGATTTCGAAGACGACATTCCTGCCGTTGGAGACTACATCACAGTTCAGACGACGAACACCGACCCTGTTGATCTTAACATCATCAACCTGTTGGTAGGCTTAACAGCTAGAGTTGTAAATAAAAGCCACCGAAACATTTCCATAATCGTTGGAAATAGCTGCTAAAATAGAATCCATTGTACAATTCCGACCATATTATGTGCATGGATTCATGAATCTCTGTCAAATAGAGAGGAAGGTGTTTCAGAAATGATTAGTGTGTCCTGACCAATCAGCACACCCATTGCACGCATAGAAGGAAGTAAACAGTTCACGTGTTACAAAACAAAACAAAGCAAAAAAAAAAGAAAACAAAAGAAAACAAAAAGAAGTTCCTTTTTGTTTCCAATGCGTCAAATTTAGAAATGTCTATCACATTTCTATTTCTTACCACGATTAAAGAAACACGATTAACGAAGTTAGGAATTATAACACGTAAGACGTACCAGTATCGGTTTTAACCTTTTTCAGGTTGTGTCACGAGGTCGGGTTGTTTTACAACTGAAAACTAGGAACCTGGGCGGCGCACGCACTCAGTTCCACTTCCCTGTTACACCGGAAATGTCACCGAGTGTCCGTCTACTGGCGTTCTCAATGCGAGGCTCGGAAGCGGGGTCAGAGGTCATAGCTGACTCAACGTGGCTTGATGTTGAGGAAAGTTGTGAACATGAGGTACTGTTTTGTCCAAAATAGTATCAACATTATGACTGTGTGATCATGACAAGACGATATATAAATTCAAAGTCAGGGAACAGCAGCCAGACGTCAATTCAAGTGCGAACACTATCTTAATAACTTCTGTACATGAAACCCTGTATGGATAAGAGTCTTTTTACGAAAATCACCATTTACTTGTATAATAAGGCGGTATCCTTTCGGGAAGAAGATTGTTTATCAAACATGACGGTATTGATGGAAGTATCAAGTTGTCCATTACTTTACAGTTTGGTGTATGCAAAACATTGTGAATATGTATGTACCTGGTCACATTGCTAGTGACAAAACCTTCACCAAATGTCTTCATGACATTTCCCTATTATGTCGTTACTAATATTTGTAATATTCAATTTACAATGAATATCAGTTTAAGTCAGTAGCCAATGCTGGTCGGAAGGGGTGACCGAATGTATCGGCGGACGGTCTGGCTCAATGTCTTGGCATCGTTACTCAACAGTCTTAATCGTTAGAATATCAATCACCGGATTGCCTGGTCAAGATTTACTAACTTATAAGTATTACAGCTGGAATACTGTGCATTGTAAACAACTTGTGTTGCTTATACCATCTTGAGTCACTGGATTGTCTCGTCTCAAGCATTTGCAGCCTGTCCTAATATAGAAGAAAGACTTCTGAATTAGGCGTTAGACAACAAGAAGGTGTCCTAAACTCTCAAATACACTGTATTACGTATGACATCAATCCAAATGATTGCAGATAACTATGAATGACGACTTGTCGAGACGGGACTACTACCGGCCCGGGGACACGGGGACGCTGACTGTAAAGGGCATGCCTCACATGGACATCGGACTCCTGGCAGTCGACAAGGCGGTGTACTACCTCAAGAACAAACTCTCCTTGTCTAGAAGCACCGTATGTGTATAGCATTGACGGAGTGCACTTTAACAGCTTTAACACGTTAACTTTAATTAACAGCTTCTGAATTCTTAAAGATTTTGTTGTGTTAGTAATACTTTATGAAATAATTCTATGTGATGAATATTGATCATTTTGAATTTTGAATCCTAAATCCTCGAGCTTTTACTTATTCGAGATTCATACGCTGATTTGTATAATCCAAACCAAAAAAGATCTTTTTAAATATTCAGAATTTATATTGAGATTTAGATCTGGCGAACATAGTGTTAAGATTCCTGACTATATTTCTGTAATGTGTCGTCATATTCCGTCAGGTGTTCGACTCCCTGAAACAGCAAGACCGTGGGTGTGGCCGAGGTGGAGGGCGGGACAGCGCTAACGTGTTTCAGGTCAGACTTTCATATATTACCTGTACATACTAGACTTTCCACATGTACATGCAGTGCGCGAAATAACAACTGGCCCGCTAGCCTGTGGCTAGTAAAAATCCAGTCGGGTCAGTAAATCCCCAAAGTCACTGGCCCGACTGGCTATTGAATTTTTCATTTTGTAAATATATCACTCTCTCCCCGACTTGTTAAGTTATAATATACTTTTAAATCTGCAAGATTATGGCCTGATAAAAATGTTCATCATATCAGCAGCTTAATGATGAAAACCGTGTCGATATTCAAATTTTGGGCTTGTGAACTATTTTGTGGGCTTGTAACTTTCAGGCATAGCTTGCCCGAATGGCTAGCAAAATTTGGAAACTATTTCGCACACTGTTTACATGTGTCTTCAGTACAGTAATGCTCCTGAGTGTCTATACTGCTGGCATACCAAACACGACTGCACGTTACAGACGTGTATGTTACAGATGTAACACCTTGATGTGTGTGCATAGATACAATATTGTAAGGTACACCTGTGTATAACCAGCTGCAATGGTCTAAAGCGCAAAGTAGCGACAGTACCTTAACGTTGACGTATTCATTCCAGCTGTAAGGTTTTTTTAATGTCCTACTTTTTTTATCTATAATATAATTAAAAACTGTTCTCGTCACGATATGGCTGAAATATTGCCGATGTGACGATTAATATTAACTCCTCACTCACTCACTCCAGCTGTAATTCCTTTACATTGACTGGTGCATTACAGCTGTAATGTTGTAACAGTAAAGCAACGTTACAGCTGTAATACTTTAACCTTGACCTTTGCATGTTAAGCTGGTACTGCAGTATATGTTCGACACGAGTAGATACAACAAATAGTGCTGGTGTCTGCTTGAATGGTGTTAGGTATTCAACTGGCGCTTCTAGTGGGACATTGCTAAAAGTCGGACGGCGTTCAGTGAGACGCTTTCGTTTGTATGACACCCACGTTTCTGTTGTCCAGGACGCTGGACTGACCGTCCTCACGAATGCTGGACTGAGAACAGAGCCCCGAGCACAGAAGGCATGCTCCAACAAGTACGTCAGACGACGCAGGGAGGCATCGAGAGGTTTATTATTTCAAGATTTACGAAACATCGTTAGTGTTAGGACCCACTTAACGTTAAAGCAACAATGGATGAGCATGACTGACTCCGTTGTTGCAATATTCCAGCATTTTCACGACGGGAGACACGAGCAATAAGATGTCTCCAGTATTCCAATGTCGGTCATCGGACTTGGTCGGTAACTTCGGGGTGACCACAGTACACTAACCACTTCTCCACTCACACCTAAATGATTTATAAGTATTTGGAAAACATTTGTGCTGGTCCGATCATAATATGGATATTATAGGTTTCGGAACATCGCAGCTGTGTGTTGGGACTTCACGTGTTGAACCGATCGTTGCTGAGGCCCGTGTCCCAATGTTGGTTGGATGTATTCTTGTTGTCATTCACACATTCAAAGACTATCTATATATTTGTAGGTCTTAATCGCACGTAAATGTTAATGTCCAAATTCGTGACATTCTTCAAAGGCAATATTTACGTATTTCTCTTTCTAACCATTCTCTGATATAAACACGCTTGATTCTACCCCTTATAGATACTATACATACTGAACCTTCGTTTGTGGCCTATTACCATTCTCCGAAGCCGTCCCTTAATTCTACAACTACGTATACACCAACAACATTCAAAACCACACCAACTGCAACCACAACTACAAACATAATAATATCCACACCTAACGTATCAAATTCTACAACAATACTCCAACTTATATACGTACTGTTCCAACAGAGAGTGCCATGGCTACGTTGTGCTGTAATGAGGGTTTCGCCGTCGAGAACGCCACCATTTCCATATGCTACAAGTTTGCATCTATTGTGAAGAACGGCACCAAGTCCGAGGAATGTGCCTCCAGCTACTTCCGGTGCTGCAAACACCGTGTAGAGAACCCCAGCAACCATACGGGATCGGGCAGTGAGATACTATACAAATATTACCATTCCATAATCCAAACAGGATGTTGACGGCTTTAACGTAAACACATTCAAACATATCCAAGTTAACAAGATAATTGTTCAAATAACAATTTTCAGATAAGTTTTTATACAATTAACATCAGTCAAAACTGCCATCTATTTATGCTGGTATACATATGACTAAATATTGTAAAACGCCAGTCCACTTTTAGGTCCGTGTCACTGCCATAAACAACATTGTCGTAGTATTAAGATATATACATTATTGCTCCATTTCGAGAAAGGAATCACCAAACCCGAGGACGTACAAGACGATGGCCTTGACCTTCCGTTTGACCAGAACGACGTCGACGTGTCCTCCATCCCCCTCAGATCCAATTTCCCAGAGGCCTGGTGGTTTGAGGACTATGCACTGGAGTACGTACAGAAGAGAATGTTTTATATGATTGTCGTGGAACCATTCTGATACACTGACTTTTACGCCAGAACGACCCATATGTTCAAGTGTTCCTGCGCTTGTTGCACATGTTTCACTATGCTATAAATATGCTATATTCTTCATATTTGTTCCTTTGCATAGATGGCCTTATTCCTAAAATGCATCCGTCAACACCAATTATTATTTATCATTGTTGTCGTTTTTAGCGGCGATGGGAAGAAGGAGATCGAGTTCACCCTGCCGGATACAATCACGACGTGGGTTGTACAAGCGATAGGCGTGTCAAGACGCCATGGCTTCTGCGTGGGGAAGGCTCACAACATCACGGCGTTCAAGAACTTCTTCATCCAGCTCGACCTCCCCTTCAGCGCCATCCGACTGGAGCAGCTGGAGGTCCGGGCCACCGTGTATAACTACATGGACAGGAACGTCACGGTGAGTTGGGAACGTCTTGGCGAGTTGGGAACGTCGTCGTGAATGGACGATGTCACAGTGGGTTTCTAACGAGCGTGGGGACAGTGACGGGTCTTGGAAACGCCACAGTGAGTAGGCAATATTGGGAATGTCAACTGAATTGAGGAAGGTAAAGGTGTCACGGCGAATTGGTGACGTCAATGTGAATTGGGAAGTCATGATGCGTATGGAATGTCACAGTGAGTGAGGAAAGGTCACTATATGAATTGAGAACGTTACTAGCAGTGAGGAAGGTCGAGGGTTCGCCACGGAGAAAAGTGAACATGAAAACGTGAAGGTGGGTACATTGACTAAGGAAAGTCACGGTGCTTTGGGAGAACGTCAGTGTGTGGGGAACGTGACAACGACTAGGGAATATCAAGGTGACTTGGGAACGTCAGTGTGAGTAGGAACGTCACGGTTTGTTGGGAACTTCATGGTGAGTGAGGACCGTCACTTACGGTAAGTAAAGACGTAACAGTGAATAAGGAACGTCACTTGAGGCGACAGTCGCGTCGTAACTAATGATATATGTATATTTGTTTTACTCATGCTCATATTTGTTTTACAATGTCCTCTTCAGGTGAAGATGTATCTCTCAAGTGAAGAGGGTGTGTGCTATTCGGGAGATCCCGGTGAAAACTCGGAAGTTGCCGAGTTAGACGTGCCAGCCAATGACGCGTCATCGGTGTCCTTCCCTATCATCCCCCTGGAGGTGGGGGACTATCCCGTCAGGGTGGTAGCCTTCTCCCCCTGGGGCTATGACGCCGTGGAGAAAACTCTCAGAGTCGAGGTAATGGTTGGTTACAATAATAACAGGCTGCACAATAATAGTACCATAGAATGTTCCGGTTAATCGACTGTGTACGAGACGTAGTGTAATATATTGTTCCTAAAATGGCTTTAGTACAGGGGCTTGTTCGTCGTTATTTCACGTGTATGTGTTGTTACACAGGTATGACGTCACCCTGTCCTCTCCTCTGCAATTACGATGAGTTTTTTCTTGAAGGTCAGATTATGCTCACAGATATATAATGGAAAAATCACAAAAAGGTGCATTGCTTGTGTCCTTGGAAATTACATACATTTCGTTTTTTAAACGCATGTCTTATCATCCATGTTAATTCTTCCTGGGGGAACGTGATTGCTCCATGACTGTGGAGGTTTGAACCCTCTCGGAAATCTATGTTCAGAATCCAGATTTGCAAACCATATGTCTCTCGGTTAAGTCAGCACCGTGCTCTGTTGTGAGCTAAACAGCACAGGTCTAGGGTCTGCATCGCTGTGGGCTTTTCTCGTATCTCAAAAGGACATTCCGTGATAAACTGAAACACTGTTAGAGCGGCGTCAACCAAACCCATTCACTCACTAATACATTCCATTATGATACAAGGGGGAAGGGCTGGAGAAGATCCACACCGTATCTGTGATGCTCGACCCCACAGGCAAGAGGCTGCTGAGAGACACGCCCTACAACTCCTCATTTGGTCTCAAATGTGCGTAAGTCGGTGGTGTTGCTATTTAGTTACGAACTCAAGCTTTGATGTGCGTAATTATCATAGTAGTTAAAAGTAAACAACAAACATTCTTGTAGGAATGGCAGTTACTCTTTAAAAGAGTTTTTTTGTCTTTCAGTTCAACGGTTATGATGAGGATGAAAATAACTTAAAGACCCGGGTTCCACATGGGTAAAATAGAAACATTTTCATCATTCTATTGGCACAAAACGCTAAGAGTTGTGTATCATTGATCAATATGCATTCACTGAGCATAACCTTTGCAGCTGAAATAAACAAGCACCAGAGCAAGCAGAAGGTGGAGGTGGACCTGCAGCTCCCCAAGGAAACCATTCCCAAGACAGAAAAGTGTTCAGTCAGCGCCATAGGTAGGTAGAATGATATTAACACTATTAACATCAAGACATAAACCCAGGCACCAATACCCGTCACATCTGACTACTCGCGTCGTACAGATGCTTTGAGTGCATGGTACACCTGCAGATAGTGGACAGAGCAAAAGGTCGGCGTTTGATTCCATGGTCGCGTCTTACCAGAAAACGTTAAGAGTGATTCTTGGTGTTACCCTACCTGTTGCTCGGAATTAGGGGGATGAAATGGTACAGGCTGAGTCGGCTCCTAACGGTTTCGAAAGGTGTATTCCTTCAAGGTATCTCAGTGGGTTAGAACTATAAAACCAGCTATAGAACGTTTAATACAATCACACATATACATATCCACATATACACACGTATGGAAATACAGGTAAAGTAATCTCAGTGGCGATATTATACACCATTTGACGTCACATCCAATCTGCGACTAAACGGATGAACAAATTGTTCAGTAACAGCTTGTGACGACCACTAGTCATATTTAGCCATTTGCAAAATGATTAATTTTATAAAATTCTGCCCATAAACTGTGGACTGATGCATGACACTGACGTGTTGATACTGTTCCGTGTTTGCAGGTGACCTGCTGGGCCCCACTGTGACGAGTGTAATCAAAGGCCTCCACAACCTGCTCCGGCTGCCCACCGGATGTGGGGAACAGAATCTCATCTTCCTCGGCCCCAATGTGTTTGTGTTGCGGTATCTGAGGGCCGCCAACAGGCTGCCACAGGCAGTGGAGAAGAAGGCCCGGACGTACATCAGAGAAGGTGAGTGTTGTTTACACCACACTCAGCTATTTCACGGCGGTCTGGAAATAATCCAGTCTGGACTAGACAATCCCAGAACAATCTACCTGTTTGGGATGCGATAATGTGCATTAACCAAGTCTGAACAACCGACTCCGTCGGTGCATGGGTTACTGAAGGTCAAATCTAACCAGGATGTTCACGGATGGAGTGGTCCGGGATTGGATGGATGGTTGGGTGGGGTTTTGGTTCGGTGGAGGGGAATCTGCAGGATGGGTGGATTATACGGATGGGCGAGTGATGGAATGAGTAAAGCATGCTTCAAAATAAACGTAACGCGAGATTGAGAATGTTAACTGATTGTAAACAAATGTCCGTGCTAAATCATTAAAATGAAATGGTATTATACCCGATGTAGTTTTAGATCCATAAATTAGCTCCAATGTAAATTCATGCATATATCAGTACATCGATGTGTTTCATCTGAATACAGTCAAACATGAATTCATTGTACTTTGTAGAGTGACCGCTGTTACTGAATTGTGAATCTGTTTATTCCTCGTGACACAGGTCTGAATCGCCAGCTGACCTTCAGGAAGCCGGACGGTTCTTATGGAACATGGCCGAGCGCGGAATCCAGCACGTGGTCAGTGTCATGGCAGCTCTTGGAATAGGATATAACTACTGTTGGAGATGTTTATATGGCAGACAGTAGACAAACAGCAGATAGACAGTAGACAGACTTAAACGCGAAGACAGACACGCACAAACATACACAGAACACACACGCAAACTCACAGACAGACCATGAATTGGCCCAAAACCATATCGCGCACTGATAAGAATATTTCTGTAGAGTGCACAGGAAGCCTTCAAATTAGGTTATAGCAATATCCACGGTTTTCATCAACTGTATAAATGTTGTCACAGTAGAAAAGTATGTTGTAGTATGAACGAATCGGGTGTCTCGGTTATAGGGGAGCATACCTCTGGATAATGTCTCCGAACGTAGCGGCTAGACTCACTGCATGATAGTAACAACCAAATACACATTCAAGTTAACAAACAGACCAAAACAGTTGGTCATTACGACAAAGGTGACATATATTTTAACAAATCACGGTCAAACGGTTCCAGACAAGGCTCGTGACAGGGATAATATAGGGAGCTCTGCGCTATCGCTGCGATGAACTTGTCAGGACTCGTCGTCTGCCAGAACTATTGGTGTACCACTAAACTGGTTACGTGTACAACCGGCGCACCACCCTCTCACAGCTTCGGCATTCCTTACACGTAAGGCTGGGGTATACTTCATGATAAATGTGTATTAACCTTTCCTTTTACCGCCCTATACGGACACAGCTTTATATCATCACAGGCTGACGGCCTTTGCTCTGAAGACGTTCACACAGGCCGGGGAGTTCGTCACAGTGGACCCTGTGGTCACGTGTCAGGCCTTCGAGTGGCTGCTCCACAAACAGAAGGAAGATGGAACATTCATCGAGAACGCTGGGGTCATGCACAAGGAGATGACGGTAAGTTGTTGGGGCCAAGTAGAACATCCTTATTGGACTTGTGGGACAAAAGTGCTAATGTGCAGTATTCCTGCTTGGCTATAACACGGAGGTCAGTGCATGTAAGGTGTTGGCATAGCTTTGTTGGTCACTTCACCAGATTGATTCCCTTAAGGGGAGGGAAATTGAGTTTATCGTCGTGCTTGAGAATATTTCGCTCATATGACGACGTGCATGCGTGTGTATGTGTATGTGCGGCTGCTTGTACTAGCCCAGACTGAAGCTGGTTTTATAGTGCTATCCCACTGAGATGCCATGCCGCAGTGAAGCATGAATACCCCACTCAGACACATTATACTGACTCCGAGCCTACCAGTCCTTGTTGTACACATTAATGCCGAGCGCCAGGCAGGGACCAACAAGTACCATATTTTAACGTCTTTTGGTATGACGCGGTCGGGGATCGAACCCGCGACCTTCCGCTCTCCGGGCGGACGCTCTAACCACTACACCACGGAGGCGGTCGATTCCCTTAAGGGTCTCGCCAGTAAAGATTCGTGGGGATCGGGCCTTTTTTCAGACAGAAGTTCGTGCATACACAGTGCCATTTAGAAAGTGGACAGATGTAAAAAGTGTCATATTTGGGATTAAACATTCTCAGTAAGTCCGTGGTCTAAACTACCAGCTGTCCGACTTCCATCCGGAAGCCGCGGTGGCTGAGCGGGTTAGGCGGCCGACATAGTGTGCTGGCGATTAGGTGCCTGACTCTGAGGGTGTGGGTTCAACCAACAAAAGTACTAGCTTCCGTACTTTACTGAACAAATTTAATCCCAAATACAGTCCGAATTATATAGCAATGTTTTTACGTGTAACTACCTTATTGGGCCGACACTTTGGTCCGAAATCCGAAATAATGAGAGTCCGAGATACAGAACTTTTTATTATGACAACAAAGAAGGATTACGTCGGGACCGTGAGTTCAGTCCTGTTTATACAGCAATCCGAGAAAGACAGAGTCCGAGTTTGACAGAGTGCACTGTATAACATTTCTTACAGAAGTCAGCGTATTAACTTCTTTTTCTTTTAGGCCAAATAGAATCTGGTTCGGCTTGAGACTACTTATCCTCCTGTGGCGTTATGGTGTTTTTCACGCATAAATCTGACCATGCTAAAATAATGGTGTTGCAGGGCGGTGTGAATGGCGACGCTACACTGACGGCCTTTGTGTTGATTGCCTTGTTAGAGAGCGACTGTATCCCCATGGTGAGGTTCCAGGTCCACTGGCGGCTCCTGTGATTAGTGTTCAGTACATATCTTAAACAATTATTGGTCCGGCAACTGGTACACTAGCTCTGAAGTTCTAAGTGTTATAGAATTGGTCTTAACCAAAGTCTCATTGACATAAAGACAGTTAACTGGATAGAGTGATCAAGTTCGCCGACTCACTTCTCATGCGGTCATTTGCGCAGATTGTTGTTCCTAAAATCAGTCACCAACAAGTCTAGTCCAGATCATTTACAGACTGTAAACACACAAGTAATAAGACACAACTTTGGGTGTCACTCTTACACTCTGCTAAACATAGGTCATTGAGATATTAAGGTATTACATACACCGACCACGTATGTAGGAAGGGGGTCGGCGAATCAGTCGTACTCACATAACGTTTATACCATCTATGTCTAACTTAATCTGCTTCTCCGACGATAATAGTAGCTAATGACCTGATCCAGAGACAATATCTTTAAGCAGACACGATGGATATTTCAAATCATTTTGTAACTTTGTTCCAAGTCTCGGAACTTTTCTGAGAGGATCCGGAGGCGAGCAGTAGAGTTCCTGGAACAAGAACTGGTGGCCTTGGACCGTCCTCTCGCAGTTGCAATGACAGCCTACGCCCTGACGATGTCTCTGAGTCAAGAACGACACGACGCGTTTGAGAAAATGAAGGCCATGGCGCAGTCTTCTGTTGACGGTTAGTCACAGATATTAAAGTTTATGTGTTTTAACTGAAGCTTCCGATCATGATAATATGAAAAGCGAGGAGTGCAGTTGAGGAAAATTGGTAAATTATCTTGAAGGAAAGGAAAGATGTTTCATACGCTTTCTAAATGTTAGATCTCAGGATTATGAAGTTATTTGTAAAATTAATATATAGTTTTAGATGCAAATCATTTCGATTGAAACAAAACCAGCTCTTGGTGAGTGTGCTTTCGACAGACCTTGTATGGAAATATTACTTTACAGGACATACCTTTTGGCCTGCTGGGGAGATCGACCACATCGAGGGCCACTTCCATCAGCCCCTGTGGTACGCCAAGAGGCCCGGGGCCCTAGCTGTGGAGACAACCGCCTATGCCCTACTGACCTACCTGGAACACGGCTTCATCAGGGAGAGCCACTCCATCGTCAGCTGGCTCACGGGGCAGAGGGAGTCTCACGGCTCATTTGTGTCCACACAGGTACCGCCGATACACGACCTGTGAAGGTCCGGGTTAGAATCGGCCTTCAGCAACCCATGTTTGTCGTAAGAGGCAACTTGGTTGGTTGGCACATGTCATCGTATCCCAATTACGTACATTGATGCCTATGATATTGATCATTGGATTGTCTGTTCCAGACCCGATTATTTACAGACCTCTGCCATGTGGCTGGAATATGGCTGTAATATTGCTGGAATATGGCTGGAATATGGCTGTAATATTGCTGGAATATTGCTGAGTGCGGCGTTACACAACAAACAAGCAATCATACAAAATATGCGATACACGTAGGGTCTGTTTGTTTGGAGGTTAACGCCGCACATGGACAAGACAATCCGGTGACTGACATCATCAGCATCAATCCTTTCTGATGGTTTACGAGTATTAACCAAGTCAGCGAGCCTGACCATCCGACCCCACAGATATCTCTTACTGTTTGCATGTGTTGAAGATCCGCTCCAACAGAGACATCTTCGTGGCGTAACTCTCAGCGAGTCTGACCATCCGACCCCACAGATACCTCTTACTGTTTGCATGTGTTGTTGAAGATCCGCTCTGACAGTGACATCTTCGTGGCGTAACTCTTCGTGTTCTGATCGGACCGAGGACGCTGATCCATGGTTCGCAAAATGACCTCGCCGAGAGTAATCCTATTGTCCTCAGAAGTAATTCTATTAAGGATAGAGACTTCAGTGTTCGATTGAAGCAAATCAGCTACTAACACCCATAACTTTGAGACCCGGGTCCGATTCCCCACATGGGTACAATGTGTGAAGCTCATTTCTGGTGTCCCCCGCCGTGATATTGCTGGAATATTGCTAAAAGCGGCGTAGAACCATACGCACTCACTCATAACTTTGAGAGTACATCTTACCAGAACAGCATGTCAGTTTTGTGAAACATGCAATCTACAATCTGTATGATATTGTTTCAATTAATTCGATCACATTTTATAGTTGAACATGACAACATTAGATAAACGGTACAGGTAAGGTAGGTACTATGATGGGCAGCTGGCACACACAACGTTTAAAGTGGACAGTAACCATGATCATACAAAGGGAAAACATTTTATGAGAGCTTCGTTTATTATACAAGCTCGTGAACAGATTGTCACTTGCTTCCAGTTGTGATGTCTTGTAATTAAACGCAGAGTACAGCATTCACTCACTCACCCTGTACCCACTAATTCCAGGACACAGTGATAGGCAAGCAGGCTGTGTCCGAGTACAGTATTCACTCACACACCCTGTACCCACTAATTCCAGGACACAGTGATAGGCCTGCAGGCTTTGTCCGAGTACAGCATCAAGACCTACTCGTCCATCCTCGACATGACCTGTGACCTCCGGTCCGATGTGGATGCCAGCTTCAAGGAGTCAATCCTGCTGCAACATGAGGACGCCTTCGTGCTGAAGACCGTGCCCAAGGTAAGTGGTCCGTGAACTCTCAAAGAACTCTAAGGACTTGGTTCACGAATTAACGTTTCAAAACTATGGAGAAAGTCGTGGAAATAATCACGATATGATGTAACATCCTGCTTAATATTGCATATCGTATTACAAGAATAGGAGAAGTAAAAGTGCCTATGCTTATGTGTTTATTCCACATCTGTTAAACATCGCTACATTTTTATACACAAACTGAACGATAATAAACAACACACGCCGACTTGCATTTTAACAGCTGGACATCATTGCCAATAGCGACAGTGAAAGCTCAAACTGCTTGTGTTTCCTATGTAAAGATTGTCAGATTGCCCAGCCATGTACAGATATGTGTTACCACGGTCTCTGTTCCCAGTTGTGTTCTTGCTGAATGAAATCATCGTTAAAACCCACTCACTCACTCACCATTTACTGATGAATTCTATCCATTTTCTATACGACTCATACAAGCTGTTCTTATCTCTGCCAAACAGATTATGTGGTGTATTATCCTTCATTTATCAACCGGTATCTTCAATGAAATTCATAAAAATAGAAAATCAGTAACATTAACCAAGCGTTTCCAGTCTGGGTCATCATTCCATTCCCTGTACGGACAATGTGGTTCCGTCACAACAAGCCTGTCTTTTGTGTCTGGAAACATTGACGTACCTCCCGCCGTTTGAGGTACAAACGAGCATGCTTTTTCTACGGAGGTCTTGAAAAGCGTCACACGACTGTTTTCTCAAAATCTGTATCATGGTAAAGGCATACAAGCTATACCAGACTTGGATGACATTCCCAAATGTGATGGATCAGACCAAAACGATATGCATAATTCCCAAACACAAGTCTTGGAGTGTGTTTGTGATTGGAGCCGCTTGTACATCATCAACATAATGGGTCATACTTCCTATGTACGTGCTTTTAATGAAGCCGGAATTATACAGTGAACTCTACGATTATGCTGTTTATACAAAGGATTTGTCTTGCATCCACCTAGCAATACATGGGTAGAGTGTTTCTCCAGGTACCGACTGGGGGGAAGCTGGTGTTCGAGGCAGCCGGCACGGGGGTGGGGATGATGCAGGTGGAGGTCAGGTATAACGTCCCGGATGAAGACAACAGCTGTCGCTTTGACGTCATCGTCAAAAGTACCCGGCTGTCGCACATGCTGACTCAGTTCTTTTGGCAGAGGGGCAAGTGAGTATTTTGTTTGTTTTCATATATTGTTGTCAAAATATGATTGATGAATAGTTACGTACGATAAGAGTCAGAGCATACATAATGCATCAGATGAGTAATATATCAAATTTCGTTTATTCGTTTTTGTGACTATAGGCAATACAGCACAATTCCTTTCGACGGCTATTTCTTCGCAAAACATCTCATCAGTTTGGTTGCTGATGTCAAATACGCCTTCCTCTGTACACTGGGGCGGTGGGTAGGTAAAGAGTTTATAACACGGGTTCTATCCCCCAATGGTTACAATGGGTAAACCTACTGCTGCTGTACCAGGCAGTGAGGCTGTTTGAATATTGCTGAAAACGACGTAAAACATGACAAACGCATGTAGACGTGAAGGGTTTTTACAAGAGTTTCTTGTCAATATATCAGCTCTATAACTTCTCCTTTGTCTGCAGAACCGCCTCCGTGGTGTAGTGGTTACAGCGTCCGCATGGAGAGCGGAAGGTCGCGGGTTCGATCCCCGACCGCGTCATACCAAAAGACGTTAAAATATGGTACTTGTTGGTCCCTGCCTGGCGCTCGGCATTAATAGGTACAACAAGAACTGGTCGACTCGGAGTCAGTATAATGTGTCTGAGTGGGGTATTCATGCTTCACTGCGGCATGGTATCTCAGTGGGCTAGCACTATAAAACCAGCTTAAGTCTGGGCTAGTACAAGCAGCCGCACATACACATACACACGCATTCACGTCGTCATATGAGCGAAATATTCTCAAGCACGACGTTAAACCCAATTTCACCTCACCTCACCTCACCTCACCTCACCTTTGTCTGCAGCTCAGAGTGTGAGCCCTGTTCCCAAGAGTGTGATGAGGAAGAGACTGGAGAGGAAGAGGAGGAGGGAGATGATAACATTGAGTCCTTCACCTTCCCGTCTGTCGTACCTCGCATTCAGGACCCGCGGCGCAAACTAATAAATAATTACATCGATCACCATGGAAGCCGTATAGGACGGCCCTTCTCTCGAATTGGCAAACCTCTCTCCAGACGGGCACGCTCCCTGGTGGCCAGTGCCAGAGTTCTCTGTATTGAAGTGTGTGTCAGGTAGGAGTTGTCTCCCCTTTCAGAATAGAACTGTCTCTCGACACATTTACACAATCTGTATATTCAGTTTAACTCGTGATCGAGATGTGATTGTGAAAGGGGATACATGTTTATGCATTACTCTCCAGGTACCATGGCAACAGAGAAACAGGCATGTCCGTAGTGGACGTGGGGCTCTTTACTGGCTATAAACCCGTAGAATCTGATCTTAAAAACGTGAGTACTATGTTTTGCAAAAGAACAAATATACGATTATACTGTGGGATATATATACTAGTATCTTGTTAAACTAAAACCGTTATAAAAAGCGTGTCATGCCGGCCCTATTCCACGTTAAATCTTCTTTTCTGAAGGAAGAAATATACTGTGTAAAACAAATGTCACGATGTATAATGTAGTATCTTATACAAGACAGTGCTCACTACAATATCTATAACAGAGCTATTATTTGAATGTGTCTATTTGAATATAAAATGAGCACATCTTACTTATATCCTGTATATTTATATATTTCAGTTGATAAACAAAGGCAAGATACAACACTACGAGCAGTCTCAGAGATCTGTGATCTTCTACATGGAGGAGGTAAAAAAACACGTTGTATTCGTCGTAAACAAAGTTGTATGAACGACTGAGTGAGTGAGTGACTTTGGTTTAACAAGTGATATTTAACTGATAGAGCATAGGCTGCAACACCTAAATAATGATAGCGTATTCCCTATTGTTCAAGCTACAAGAGACCGCCTCCGTGGTGTAGTGGTTAGAGCATCCGCCCGGAGAGCGGAAGGTCGCGGGTTCGATCCCCGACCGCGTCATACCAAAAGACGAGTTAAAATATGGTACTTGTTGGTCCCTGCCTGGCGCTCGGCATTAATGGGTACAACAAGGACTGGTCGGCTCGGAGTCAGTATAATGTGTCTGAGTGGGGTATTCATGCTTCACTGCGGCATGGTATCTCAGTGGGCTATCACTATAAAACCAGCTTCAGTTTGGGCTAGTACAAGCAGCCGCACATACACATACACACACGCATGCACGTCGTCATATGAGCGAAATATTCTCAAGCACGACGTTAAACCCAATTTCACCTCACCTCAAGCTACAAGATACATGAGGCAAGTCTGTTTAGGCAACAAGAGGATGAGGACACAAACAAATATCCATGACAACACGTAATCGGGTCTAAATAATCAACACGGTCCGCGCTCTAGTCGGCTGTCGAGACATACGTAACGCTACATGATACCAAGAGTGTCACACTGTTTTATCAGTTTGATTCCAGTGTCACATGTTACCCCGGACGAGCCGATTGGAGACTAACTGAGGGTTCAATATATATGTAGCACTATTCTGATTGGTGCCTTTTCGATTCATTTCATCAAGAAAGGGTGGAGCTGTCGTATTAGTTTCGGACATATGCGATTGGTGGCGGATGCTATATTTGCCCCGTGTAATAATAGCTGGAATGGGGTTTTATAGTCGGAAACAACTGAACAAAAACGTAATACGTTTGTACAATGTTGGGTTTGTTGATTTGAACTAGGACATCAAGGTGTTATGAAACAAACATGATGTAGGAACAGAAACAACAAGACATGTCATTCAAGTTATAAACAAAGCAGAGTAAATATCGATGTCAGTGTTATTGATGTTATTTGTGATCCAGATATCTCACAAGAAGAACGAATGTCTCAAATTCCGAGCCAAACAGAGTCACATGGCTGAAAACATCCAGCCGGCTAAAGTCCAGGTATACGACTATTACAATCCAGGTGAGTTGAGTAGTTTTTTATCCCCCTCAACGCGTTTTGCGGGGGGTATTAAATGGACTCCGTCCGTGCGTGCGTGCGTCCGTCCGTCCGTCCGTCCGTCCGTTCACTTGTGTCTTTTCCGGAGCAGAACTGTAAAACCGTTCACTATTTCTTCACCAAACTTGGCACATACATATATCTGCTGGTGTACTGGTGCCTTTTGGTAGTTTTGGAATTCGGAATAAAATATTTTGGCGTTTCCATGGCAACAAGTTCGACTTTGACTGAAATTGGTGATAGTGCTATTTTCTGGAGCAGTACTTTAATAACCTTTCAATACTCTCCTTCCACTTTTCTATATACACATCTAAATATTTGACATAATCATAACTCGTATACATAATCATGAAGAGTATTTTGCCATTGCGGGGGATATTGATGACTTTGTCTTCTTGTTTAACTTGCTTTTCATAAAACAACATTCAGCAATACAAGCTACATGATGGTTGTGTTAAGTAATTGGAAACGTCACATTACCTGTCCACCCTCTCTGTTGCAATAAGCATAAGTTGCTGGGATCAGTCCTATTCCGGACTCTTTGTGGCGGGTAACTTCGTTAAATTAACACTAAAATTGAGTGAGTGAATTTTCTTGTACCCGAGGCTTAAAGCAATGCTCCAAAATCTGTCACAGCGGGCGACACTAAAATTTAGAGAAACCATTTTGTGAACTGCATCTTGTGATGAGAGAACGCCGGAACTAAAGGTCTAGTCGACCACCTCATCTACCAGAAGTCGGGACAAACTTCAGCTGTGTGTCGATCAACCCCAGGTAATTATGTTTGTCCTGTTTAGATGAACGGTGCACGAAGTTCTACAAGCCTGACAACGCCAGCGGTCAACTGGCCAACTTCTGTGACAAACAGAGGAAGATATGTCAGTGTCTGGAAGGTCAGTATGACAACAGGGCCCCGGTTAGTCCGGAAACCTGGTAGCCAGATAGCCTGCCCTCCGACACCTTCTAGATAAGTCACAAATGTCCTTGTATGTTTGGACATTACCCGTCATTAAACGAATTCTAGCTTGACGGTAGTATGTGAATTCAGTAGTGTGTGAGCGAGGAGACTAAGGATGAGCTGAACGCATCTTGGTTTTCTCACGGATTACTTTATCACTGTGTGCGAAAAAGCACAGGGATTACGGTAACTATGCTACCAAAAAGGGAGCGATAATTTGTTAACTTTTATTCCGAACTCACGCCTTCGCATTGTCAAAGCAAAGGACGCAACGCAGATTAAACCATTACAGCGAATTTGACAAACTGGTGCGACTTCACGAATGATCTTTTAAAATCAACATTTTATCTTCGTCATATAGTTATTTGTTTGCAATATTATTGGTAAGATAATCGTTCCTTGATGAAGTATGTACTACTCTGACCTCCAAACAGGTCGCTGTGGGCGGTGCGAGGAGGTCTGGTATGGCAAGAAGTGGACTTCCTATGTGAACTACTCCTGTCAAAACGCCACGAACAGTAAGTGATATATGTACTCCCTACAAGTCAAAACATCGATTACACAACAGTCTCGTTTCCTGCTGACTGGGTGGAAATCTGAAAACGAGGCTCGGCCGCTAGAAACGTTTGGCGGTCTGGTACGGATTTAATATTATATCATTCACATTGTACGTTACCAAAATACACTTAATACGCGTAAAGAACACATGACAGGTGTAACCAGTCAGCCAGATGAATTCTAAATCATTGTACGACTTTATCAAACAGGGGCAGTCTGTGACGTCTTAGTTATCGACATGCTGCCTAAATATCGACATAAGATATAGAAATACGATTTTTGTAAATTTTAAAATTAAAATTAATTTGTAAATATCATTTTCTTATGAAACAAGGAATTGGAATTCAGTGTAATCATGGTTGTTTGTAGTGTATCTTTTCACTTCACACGAGAAAATTCGGATCGGCTGAAAAGTAGGTCATTGTCTGAACTGGATAATGAGACTCATGTTTTGGTTTCAGTCATTATAACTTTATATTTAGTAATTGATAACCATATGAAACATGTAAAGATATATAATTTTCGGTGTATTCTGCTTCCACCAGTTTGCAGTCAGTACGTACATAAATAGTGGAAATATTTCCCATTCAAATTTCAGTTTTGCTGGTGAAGATTCTAGACCATGACGTTGCTAAGGCGGGTTTCGAGCGCTACCTGGGGGTGGTGCAGCAAGACGTGTACCAGGGTGAGATAACTAGCGATACTGCCTTGTCACATTTTCAGAATCTTCTGCTTTGAACAATATCTCAGTTATTTTACAGTCAGCTACATCTTTGCCATACATGAAGATATCGTGGAATGAGCGAATATATTTTCAATGAATTAAGCAATATGCCAGCTTCATGGGGTCATAGCTGTATAAAACGAACAAATAACCAATACGCCAACCCGGATATATATGACAGCTTCGTGTTCCCTAATGTTCTTCCACCCGTAGGTGCAAACAACATGCGTGAACATTGCAATATATATATCTTTTACCCTGAAACGATACGCTCCGCGTTGAATTCGTGAAACCTGAAACCGTCAATAACCTCCATTAAACCACCTTTATGGTGTGTATTTCCCGCCCAGAGAAGACAGGATGTAGTGTAAAAAATACAATAGCACGGCTTTATGTTTTTGCATTCGGAAAACCTTAACTGACAGTGTTTGCGGTAGGCCAAAAGGCTTTGCGTTCCTAAAACGCATGGAACGTGTAATCTTGCCTGTGTATGCATATACTGACACATACTGACCGATATACTGACATTGCGACCATTATGACTAATCACGTTAAACTGAAGTAAGGCATATTGTCATACGCAGTGATGAACTGGACTGTTTCAGTTGGTCCCCGCCAGGTGGAGCCACAGACCAAGGTCATCCTGCTGAAGAGAGCGTCGTGTAGTTGCCCAGGGTTGGAGAAGGACAAAGTCTACGTCATGATGCTTCGGGAACCGAAGAAGTTTGTCGACGTCGAGGGGAACGAGGTGTACGTATTTACCACGTGCCATTTCCTTGAAAATTACCACATACACTCATTTGGGATATCAAGTTTGTGAAAGGAGCATTATTGTGTTAAGCACGGAAATGATCTGTGCCATTTCGAAGTATCAGGCTCACTTTTGCTAAAACAATTTTTGGTTGCATGGACCTACGTGTACAGGTTACAGTATAGCACATATCATATTTAGACAGTGAAGGTGTGCGAATGAAACTTTAGTGTTAATTTGCACTTTTGTACGGAAGTCGAAGTGATGCTTCCCAACATGACACTGAATCATGTCTTCAATAGCCATACACCATGTGGTAACCCATTTGAACATTAATGCTTTGCAAAATATATTTCGCTCCTTGTCGTTGATATTGTCTTTATCAATCTAGGCACGCCTTTCTGCTGGACCAGAAAGCGTTTGTTGTGGAGTACTACCGACTCCGGGACAAGGGGCTGAAGAGTCAGCAGAAGCAGCTCGCCCGCCATCTCAAGCGGACTGTCAGGAGACTCTCCAGGAAAGGGTGCCGGAAGCTGACAAACCGGAAGAAGGGCAAGGGCAAGGGCAAGGGCAAGGGCAAGGCAAGGGCGCTACGAACAAGGGCGAGGTCAGCTAAGAGGCGAAACCGGAAGCACAGAGTTATGTCCTAAAACCAAGGTTAAGGGCAGGTGGAGAAAGTTTGGCGCCTCTTCATACAAATAAGACATGCTGAAGTGAAGACAGTGTACAATTTATAATGAAGAAACAGTTAAGAGGTCATGTCCACGTGCGGAGAAGGGTATTGTATTACAGGTGGTTTAGAGGATATACATCTTTATATTGAGACTTGACACAGCTTGGTGTACATGTTGTATGTTTTCCTTCATTTAGTCAGGGGCCCTTGTTCGCGGGTTCTATTTTGTCAAAGAAGCCATGAAAATTAACTTTAAACTGAAACTGATGTCACAAATAGCTACTGGCAGAACACGGTTTGGAAGTAACCACAAATGCACAAATCAAATTTTATATTTGTTTGTCTGGCATATATCACAGCATACGAATGTTTTATATTAAACCAATCATATTTTTTAAAGTCTTAGGCTTTTTTATTTGCCTTCAGACATTTGGATATTTTAACAGGAAAAATGGTTAAAGAACCTTTAACAATCTTTGTTTAATAATAAGTGCACATTAAAAAATATAAATGTGTTGAAATAGACCCTTGACCACTTTGTAATTATAACCTATTACACATACAGAATCATTAACGATTATCGTTAAATAAATGTTTACAAACCTAGTGCTAAGGAATGTGGGCTGTGTTTATGGATTGATAAAATAACAAAATACACGTCATTGGAATGTGGTTTTCACCTCACTGAAGTGTATTCGTCATATCACACCACCGTCGGTGATTCAACTCGACATCGTCTTTGGAAACGGACTTCTTATAATGGATGTTATATCCTTTGTGTAACGCTAGGCATGATGGGTATATAACATGGAATGGTCGGCTTGGAGACAGTAACACACACACGTTTGCACGTCGTTGCATTAGTGAAATAATCGTAGACGCAACGAGTAACCATGCTTGACCTATACTCGGTCACATCAAGAGGGACCCGTGGAGGTCCGGGTTCGAATTCAGCAACCCATGCTTGTCGAAAGAGGCGACGAACGAGATCGGATGGTCAGGCTCGCTGACTGGGTTGACACATGTCATCGTATCCCAATTGCGTAGATTGATGCTTATGGTGTCAATCACTGGGTTGTGTGGTCCAAACCCAAAGTTTAAAGACCGTCTTCATATAGCTGGAATATTGCTGAGTGTGACGTTAAAGCGAGAGACAAGAATCAGCCAATAGTCTCACGTCGTTCAGGACATTCTGTCGTGTACATTATGTAATGGCGCATCACCAGTCTACCATGTGGACGTACTAGGACCACAGCGACAAAGGACACCCATTACTGGGTTTGACTGGAAACCCGCGGTTGAAAGAGTGGCACAAGTGTGCCTATTTCACCACCAGTTTGAGGAGTAAGAACAATATTATGATGATGATATTGTTATTGTTGTTTCGGGATATATATAGAGAGCTGATACTGCTTCTTTCTTATTAGTATCAGGGACCCTATATCCACATTTCACATGTCATCGCCACCCTGTGTAGCGCTAGACATGAGTCAATATACTGTGCCTGTGATAAACTGCGGCATCTCGTTGGTTTGCAGCAGTAGGAACATTCAACATGTCATCATGTTGAAAATATTAAAAAGATGAGAATTATGTTCAACTGTATATTCAAAGAAACATTTCTCCACCTTCCGACAAGAACATTTATTCAAGCAATAACACAGGACATCAACATAAACAACAAATACAACCGGGATATTTGAAAATAAAGCTGTAAATCCACATAACACCATGTATGAACAATGCACATTTATATTTGTTCATATTTACAGACTCACATACTCCACAATATATGCACCATAACATCACATAAAACACACATATAATCCAATATGATTCCAGGGGAGATCCATCTCTTGGGTGAGATCATGCTTGTCCATTCGAGACAATTGGATCCCAATACATCCAAGGCCATTATGAGGTCATCGGTTACAACGACGTCACAATCAAATGGCATCACTAACCTTGATGACACTGCAAGTGTTTATCTTGACAAGATGCTGACTTTTACGTTTTACTGGAAAAAGTATGGCTGACAGACTGAGTATGGTTTTGCGCCGTTTTTAGCAATATTCCAGCAATATCACGACGGGGGATACCAGAAATGGGCTTCACACATTGTACCCATGTAGGGAATCGAACCCGGGCCTTCGGCGTGACGATCGAACGCTTTAACCACTAGGCTACCCCACCGCCCAGGAAAAAGAATGGAGAATGATAAAGAACAATAAACAGATTCTCACCCTCGTCTTGCAATATAAGAAAGGCACGAAGTTGAGATTCTCTACACATCTAACATGTTTTGTTCCTTGTTCGCTGCGTGTATACTCTAAAAGCATTCAAACTAGGGTTTGTCCACTGCTGCAAACCCGACATATTTGGTCCCTTCAAATCCGCCATTAAGGTTATGAAATACTAGACATTGTACAACGTGTATCTTCTATTATCTATCATGTATTTATAATTAACAACTTGTAACAACTATTGTGCACAAAAATTTAGTGTTTTTCTGGCACAACCCGTGGCAAGAGTGTCCACCAACCTTATCTGTCGAATCCTGGATACAGACTTTAAAAGAGTATTGCGCCGTTAAAATTATTGTTTAAAATGGGGAAAATCTGCTTCTTATTATTTTTATTCTGAATATTTTATTTGGAAACAAAAACGCGGAGGATTAAAAAGATATATACATCTATGGCCGACAAACACATCCAAATTTAATCCAAACCTACATTTCTAAATTTTTCAGAAGACGTTCCTGATAAGCAATCAACCAGTTAACAGGAACTAAATCGCGGTCCTACTCTGTTCCCAAATTGGGAAGGTATAAACAAAAGTAGCTACCTACACAAGTTAACTCGCAAGAGTGCCACCAGCCAGGTGACGATAGTATCTTAAACTGCAATCAACATCTAATTATGCAACAAATGCTATAGACACCGGTTGGGAACAAGGCGGTAAGCCCATGATGTCACAACGCAGAACACAATGTCAACATAAAACGTAGATACATCAACCACAATAACTACAGGTATATGTCATCAGATCCTTACAAGAGTCATGAGATGCGTGTCATGTTTTCAAACACTGGAATATATAGATTCACGAGAAATGATTTATCAGATCTTTCGACAGAAACAATGAGCGAGTGACTTGTGACATATGCTGCATTGAGCAATATTTCAGCAAATTCACGGCGGTGGCAACCAGAAATTGGCTTCACATAATTTGTCCATGTGGGGAACTGAAACAGGTGACGAACGCTTTGATTACTAGTCTACCCTGCCCCTTGAAACAATGTAATAATTATTAAATTATCTGATCTTTTACAAAGCAGTTCGTAATTACATTGAAACACCTTAATAATATAATGTACGTGGATCCAAGAAAGCGTTTTACGTGTTGAAAGCGAGTTGAGACCATCGGATGGGGTTCTGTATGGAAAAAGCACCTGTGGTAACACCTTAGTAATCGGGTCCTTAGTGAGATCATCTCAATTATTTTGGTATAGTACCTTCGCAATCTAAGTAAAATAAAGCGTGTAAATATTTAGGGAATGATTTGATCACAACTTGTCATAATATCGGTATTCAACACGGTCACCCAAACATGGGCTGATGAAAAATAGGTAGCCATCTTTGATCAGTCCCGGAAGTGAGAACCAAAACGAGGTGTGTGGGACGATCTCCCTCCCCTCTGCTCCGTACACCGACTTTCTGTACAAACTCCCTGAAAAGAAACAAAGCCGAGCTTAAGTGACATGCTAAGAAGATTATCAGTTCGAGATTCGATGATGTATACAAGAGGTGGTGGTGGTGGTGGAATTGGGTTTAACGTCGTGCTTGAGAATATTTCGTTCATATGACGACGTGCATGCGTGTGTATGTGTATGTGCGGCTGCTTGTACTAGCCCAGGCTGAAGCTGGTTTTATAGTGCTAGCCAACTGAGATATCATGCCGCAGTCAAGCATGAATACCCCACTCAGACACATTATACTGACTCCGAGCCGACCAGTCCTTGTTGTACCCATTAATGCCGAGCGCCAGGCAGGGACCAACAAGTACCATATTTTAACGTCTTTTGGTATGACGCGGCCGGAATCGAACCCGCGACCTTCCGCTCTCCGGGCGGACGCTCTAACCACTACACCACGGAGGCGGTCGATGTATACAAGAACATGACGTAGTTGGAGTATTGATGAGTGCTTATATTTACTTCTGTCATACGACTGCGCGTTGTTTAAAAGTGTTCTTAAACAACACGCAAACGTATGACAGAAGCCAATAAAATGTAAGAGTCAATTGTTTCCTAGATCTACATACTCAAAAACATCACCCACACTTCGAATGACGTGGAAAGTACAACACAGTACAAGGTACAGTCCGTTTGGGTCAGAAACGGACCGATGAATTGCAAATTTTATCATTGTACAAAATTGCCACATAAATATAAATAGTACACATGTTTATCATTTACTAATACCCAACAGCTTTCTTATATTTGAAAATTTGCCGGACTCCACCAAAAAAGTTCTTTAAGAAACTATCATTAACATTTTGACACAGTTCACTATTTTTTACCAGGGAGGAGTGCAGGGAAAGGGACAGCCAGGTGTGCGAGAAAGGATGGAGACGGTACAGCACAGGCTAATGAATCAATAACTTGGTGGGCACTTGTGCACGTGCTTCTCTAACACCTGGCTGTCCCTTTCTCTGCACTCCTCCCTCGTAACAAATAGTGAACTGTGTCAAAATGATAGTCCTTAAAGAACTTTTTGGGTGGGGTCCGGAAAATTTTCAAATATAAGAAAGCTGTTGGGTATTAGTAAATGATAAACATGTGTACTATTTATATTTATGTGGCAATTTTGTACAATTATAAAATTTGCAATTCATCGGTCTGTTTCTGACCCAAACGGACTGTAGTTGGTGGGACCTCAAGTGAACGTTGACATTAACGCTGATACACATCTGGGATGTATGCAGGCCACACATTGTGGAGGATCTAATACACAGAATGTTACTTTACGCTGCACTCATCAATATTCCAGCTAGTCGGTGTACACATCATCGAATCTCCAACTGACAATCTTGTGATTAAAAAGAGCTTCTGGGTACGCTCCGTTCCCATCCCCATCCCACACACACGTCATGTAGATCCTCATGACGGCAATTAAGTGAGAGAGTGAGTATGGTTTTACGCCGCTTTTAGAAATATTCCAGCAATATCACGACAGGAGACACCAGAAATGGGCTTCACACATTGTACCTATGTGGGGAATCGAACCCGGGCCTTTGGCATTGCGATCGAATGTGGTAACCACTAGGCTACCCACCGCACCCACGGCAATTATTATTAAGCAACACCATCCTTTTATTCAAACCGTTAAAACCTCGATGGAGAAATCACCATGTGATGTCATCTACAGACCAAGAAAGGTGAGGAGTGTTTTGCTTGGATTGACATAAGGACTTCATGTAAACCTTCCGGTCAGTTATCACATCCTGGAACTTCTTCTGGTTGTGTTATTTAAACCATTTGTGATCTAGCATTACGTTATCAGCGAATCGAAGGTGGCAGGGGTGGAAATAACTTTACAATTGCTAGTGTACTCCAGAACAGTAGCACATGTAAAATCACTTGCCCTGATAATTGTTCCACTATACCGGCCGTTTTCTTGTTGATTTTTTACAATAAACAACATAGTTAACATTGGAAAGTCAACTGGACACTGGTACAGCATGATATACAAATTTGCTTGCCCGACAGAAAAAACACTGGACTCGGACGTTGGGCAATGGGTTATTTCCACCCCTGGGTGGTATTGTCGTTTCAACTTACCCACACCGAAATAAAGGATGAACAGAGTGAAGAAGATCAGGAGTAGTATGGTACCGACGCTAAGGGAGGTAACCGACGTCAGACATCCGTCTGGACATGCGCAGGGCGAGTACAACTCAAACTGGAAAGTGGTCTCGTTGAACATGGGCTCCTGGTCTAACCGTGTGAAAGTTGCGCAGGTCAAGTGTACCACACTGCCATTTTTGTTGTCTGAATCACAGGAAACACAAACATCGATTATCTCCATAACTGAGAGAAAACTTGTGAAATGGTTCAATAGACTAGATAGAGGAGAGAATTGTGAAAATAAGTTCTGAGCCCATTGGAAATTGATCCCTGCACGTGCTTAGATTATATTGCACGCGTCATCTCAGGAGCAGCACTTCGTTGTGCAGAGTTATATCCCTTGGGCACGCCAAATGCCTATGGTCGTGAGTTCAAATCCCGGCTCGCCTTGATCGAATATGTTCAAAGGTTTTAGACCGCTTTTATTCCAGCAATATCCTTTATCGCCATTATATGAAAATTCATAATGTTAGAGTTTTGTTAGTTGTTCATCTCCACACTCCAGCTGGCAGTCTGGAAATTATCAAGTCCGGACCAGACAGTCCAGTGATTGACTTCACGAACATCGATCTACGCAAATGAGATACAATGAAATGTGTCAACTAAGTCAGCCAGCCTGACCACCTGATCCCGTTAGTCACCTCTTCCCACAATCATGGGTTGCTTCAGGCCAAAAGTAATTATCATGGATCTCAACAATTATCAAGAGTTTAATAGTTAATTCAGGATACTAATTTCATAAAACTGCAAAATTACCATTTTCAAAAAGGAACTGAATATCTTACTGTATACCAGGGATAATCTACAGCATCTTCTATTCCACTCCACTGCCCCGACATAATCTATTGAATTATTTATGTATATTAAGCAATTTAATACTACCGCTGTGAGTGATGGTTTATCCTATATAGATTGAATAAATTAAACTGGCTACAAAGTGGTTATGGAATCATGTCCAGTCATGAGAATATATTATTCAATTAATACAACTGTATTGTTGTTTCGACTTTTTCTGATATTATCTAAGATACCAAAGTTTTAATATTTCCCCAACATCTTAACCATTACAACACATGCATTTTGCATTTGTTCCATATTTGAATAACCAGTTTCAGTAGAAAGTGAGCTACAGTAGAAGAGTAATTTAGTAAAGACTAGTGTAATGACACTATATCTACTAAAACTGACACCAGTGACATCGTGCTGTTAAAAAATGGGGTTAATCTATATTGGTAAAATTATGAATGCGATAGCTTGTTGTTTCTGTGCAGGTGATGTTTACAGTTTATGGCAGCATATTCACAAGTACAGAGCAGACAGGAGTGGTGATTCTAACAACTCGGCCCATACAAAAGGTATGCACCATGCAAATATAAGATCGATACTCATGATGACAATCACATAATTGTCTGGTTCAGACTCGATTATTTACAGACGCGTCATAAAACTGGAGCATTGCTGAGGTCGACATTAAACAACACACACACTAGAAAGTAATGATATTGGATAAAATCATTCATACCTGGCTTGAAGAGTTACCTCCCTTTAATTGTTCAAACAAGGAAGTGTTGGACTCGCAGTTCAACAAATTTTACGCAGCATCTGCAAATCTCACATCAGATGATATACTTCTCAACGAACATAAATACTTAGACTATGTTTGCTTACCCCTTGTCAGATACCTCACTCTCCAGTTGGTCTTTGTCATGTCGTTCTCGAACCGAGCATGTGAAATTTCACCTGTGGTGTTTGAGGACTTGCGAAGCTCGTCATGTCTGCAAATGGCCGCATCGTCCACTCCTTTCCCACAGTGTATTCCTGTACACGGGCTGTATGTGTAGATATGTCCATCTAGGGACGACTTGATTTCTAATAGCGGAGGAGCACTTCCATTGATCAAATGCAGATTGATCTCGCTGCCGTTGTTCAGCCGACATCGACAGGGGTCGATCTGTTTACAGCTATTGTCGCCCACTACTGGCGACACCAACGTCGGGAGAAGGAACAGTGTTATAATAAACATAGGTACACGACCATACCTTCTGCTGTATCAAGGTTGATGCTCCAGTGGATGGAATAATCGCATTTGAATCGTGAGTCCACCTCTGGTGTGTACTGATGTAAGGGACATAACCCGTGTCATCCTGTTTGACAACTCAGTTTTACAATGTACGACGTGACTCGGTGCGCGGGTTCGAAACTATTTTTGAAAACTTGGCATTCTCATTTGATCATCCTTTGTATATTTTATTTTTGTAGACATGTCCACTTATTTATTTAATCACATTAGCTGTCAACATGCAACCTATGATTGTTCTGTCTGTGAATTTATCTAAAGTTACTCATAGTCCAATGCATCTATACACCGTGATATGAAAGAAGGCAAAAGCTCTGTATGCTCTTCTATTACATTTTTTCAAATGTACCTTTGGTCCTGTTGAAAAATAAACATGTAGAAAAACACAAACATGCTGTCACAATTTTCTGTGTTTCCATTTGTAAACGATCAGACTATTTCGTATTCACGCCATACACGCTAGGTTTTTGTACTTCAGTTGAACGACGGTTTTATTAAATCTATATATTTGCGACAATTGAGAAAATACTTACCCTTTCTGGTTTAGATGGTAAAGGTTCAGTTTTCTGGGGAGTGACGCATAAGCCTTACCTGAATCAAACTTTTACAAGTACAAGAAATATTTTTTTAACGTTTCGGAAGACGTTTTTTAATTACAGGAGACTTTCAACCTATTAACTTAAAACATGGCTAGCCTTCACAAAGCAGGCCCCTCAAGGCAGTGTACTAAAAAGCAACCTTATCCGAGTCAAGATTTCAGTTAAATCGCCAGTGTCAGATAGAGATAGCGCTGCGTACTTCGTTCACAATCTCTAAAACTTTTGAAAACCCTCCTCCGAAATCTAATACATAAGCATACACAAACCACCGCTTGAGACCAGTTTTGAATGACAAATGACAAAATATATTGAATTAGATTTGCATGTATTCGGGAAGACGGGTGAAAGTTTAATGCGCAAGGTGAGATATATGACATATCGCCTATTACAAGAACGACGGCTGTATATAACACGACGCTATTTCAGGTCAATCAAATACAGGGACCCTATACCATGCAGGGAACTCAGTAGGACCGACCTGTCTTATCTGCACGTCAAGTGGAGCGTTATCTGAAAACGATTTCTCCTAGAGGTTCATACCTCACGATGTTTGTCTACAGTCTCGTGTATTTGGCCTCTGATGAAGTACGAGTGTATGGTATATGTACTTTAGAGTATTGCATATTGGAATCACTCAATCAAACCCCACGCTGGGTACTTTGTCGATTTGAATTCCCAATCTAACATTTTAACCGAGTTTCATAAACAAATCCAAAAAAGTGTTAACTGCCGGATTAGGCAATCAAACTAAGTCCGAGCGTGATTCAACAGGATTATATTCCTTCTAAATGGAAGTTTCTTGATATATGGGGGAGATAAAATGACTATTAGATAAGTTAAAAGCTATATGTACACACGAAGACTGATAAATCATTGAAACACTTGAACACACATTATATAGTCACATACAATGCCAGAATATGTTAGTACGGCTGCCGGAGTATCGGTTATGATGGAAATAAAGTATTATGGTCACCACATTAGCCCATTCTACTCTTACGCCTTTGACAGTCTTTCCCCTTGACACGTTTATTGTCGGTTGTAGGAGTTTCATAGTGATTAATCATCTGTATACATTGTATCTAGATCTTCACACCATTCATTCTACATTCTAAACACACAGAGAGAAAAACACAGACAAACGTATGTATATACACACACACAAAGGTAGGCAGAATGAGGGAAGGGGTAGATAGATATAGGACGGGGAGGGTGAGGTAGATAAAGGTAAGCAAGGGGAGGGTGAGGTAGATAAAGGTAAGCAAGGGGAGAGAGAGGTACATAAAGGTAAGCAAGGGGAGGGTGTGGTAGATAAAGGTAATCAAGGGGAGGGTGAGGTACATAAAGGTAAGCAAGGGGAGGGCGAGGTAGATAAAGGTAAGCAAGGGGAGGGTGAGGTAGATAAAGGTAAGCAAGGGGAGGGTGTGGTAGATAAAGGTAAGCAAGGGGCGTGAGGTAGATAAAGGTAAGCATGGGGAGGGTGAGGTAGATAAAGGTAATCAAGGGGAGGGTGAGGTAGATAAAGGTAAGCATGGGGAGGGTGAGGTAGATAAAGGTAAGCAAGGGGAGGGTGAGGTAGATAAAGGTAAGCATGGGGAGGGTGAGGTAGATAAAAAGGTAAGCAAGGGGCGTGAGGTAGGGTAGATAAAAAGGTAAGCAAGGGGCGTGAGGTAGATAAAAAGGTAAGCAAGGGGGCGTGAGGTAGATAAAGGTAAGCAAGGGGAGGGGGTGGTAGATAAAGGTAAAAGCAAGGGGCGTGAGGTAGAGGTAGATAAAGGTAAAGCAAGGGGAGGGTGGGGTAGATAAAGGTAAGCATGGGAGGGTGAGGTAGATAAAAGGTAAGCAAAAGGGGAGGGTGAGAAGGTAGATAAAAGGTAAGCATGGGGAGGGTGAGGTAGAATAAAGGTAAGCAAGGGGGAGGGTGGGGTAGATAAAGGTAATCAAAGGGAGGGTGGGTGTGGTAGATAAAATGTAATCAAAGGGGAGGGTGTGAGTAGATAAAGGTAAGCATGGGGAGGGTGAGGTAGATAAAAGGTAATCAAGGGGAGGGTGGGAGGTAGATAAAGGTAAGCATGGGGAGGGTGAGGTAGTAGATAAAGGTAAGCAAGGGGAGGGTGGGGAGTAGATAAAGGTAAAGCAAAGGGGGAGGGTGGGAGTAGATAAAAGGTAAGCAAAGGGGAGCGTGGGGTAGATAAAGGTAAGCAAAGGGGAGGTGGGAGTAGATAAAGGTAAGCAAAGGGGAGCGTGAGGTAGATAAAGGTAAGCAAGGGGAGGGTGAGGTAGATAAAAAGGTAAGCAAAGGGGAGGGTGAGGGTAGATAAAGGTAAGCAAAGGGGGTGTGAGAGTAGATAAAGGTAAGCAAGGGGCGTGAGGGTAGATAAAGGTAAGCAAAGGGGCGTGAGGTAGATAAAAGGTAAAATCAAGGGGGAGGGTGGGGTAGATAAAGGTAAGCATGGGGAGGGTGAGGTAGATAAAAGGTAAGCAAGGGGAGGGTGGGAGTAGATAAAGGTAAGCATGGGAGGGTGGGGTAGATAAAAGGTAAGCAAGGGGGAGGGTGTGGTGAGATAAAAGGTAATCAAGGGGAGGGTGTGGTAGATAAAAGTGAAATCAAAGGGGAGGTGTGGTAGATAAAAAGGTAATCAAAGGGGAGGGCAGAGGTAAGATAAAAGGGTAAGCAAGGGGAGAGGAGGTACATAAAAGGTAAGCAAGGGGAGGGTGAGGAGTAGATAAAGAGGTAAGCATGGGGGGGTGGGGGTAATAGATAAAAGGGTAAGCAAGCAAAGGTGAGGGGGGAGGGAGTGAGAAAGGGTAAGCATGGGGATAAAAGGGGTGAGGTAGATAAAAGGTAAGCATGGGAGGAGTGAGGTAGATAAAAGGTAAGCATGGGGAGGGTGAGGTAGATAAAAAGGTAAGCAAGGGGGAGGGTGGGAGAGGTAGATAAAGGTAAAGCAAGGGAGGGGCGGAGGTAGATAAAGGTAAAGGTAAAGCAAAGGGGAGGTGTGGTAGATAAAAGGTAAGCAAAGGGGCGTGGGAGGTAATAAATTAAGCAAGGGGAGGGTGGGAGTAGATAAAAGGTAAGCAAAAGGGAGGGTGAAGAGGTAGATAAAAATAGTAAGCAAGCAAAGGGAGGGGTGAGGGTAGATAAAGGTAAGCATGGGAGGGTGGGAGTAGATAAAAGGTAAGCAGCAAAGGGAGGGTGAGATAAAGGTAAGCATGGGGAGGGTGAGGTAGATAAAAGGTAAGCAAGGGGAGGGTGTGGTAGATAAAAAGGTAAGCAAAGGGGAGGGTGAGGTAGATAAAATGTAATCAAAGGGGAGGTGTGGTAGATAAAATGTAATCAAGGGGAGGGTGTGGTAGATAAAAAGGTAAGCATGGGGGGAGGGGTGAGGTAGATAAAAAGGTAAAGCAAGGGGAGGGTGAGGTAGAATAAATGTATAGAATCAAGGGGAGGGTGTAGTAGATAAAAAGGTAAGCAAGGGAGGGTGAGGAGGTAGATAAAAAGGTAAGCAAAGGGGAGAGAGGTACATAAAAGGTAATCAAGGGGAGGGGTGTGGTAGATAAATGTAATCAAGGGGAGGGTGTGGTAGATAAATGTAATCAAGGGGAGGGGTGTGGTAGATAAAAGGTAAGCAAAGGGGGAGGGCAGGGTAGATAAAAAGGTAAGCAAAGGGGGAGGGTGTGGTGAATAAAGGTAATCAAAGGGAGGGTGTGGTAGATAAAAGGTAAGCATGGGGAGGGTGAGGTAGATAAAGGTAAGCAAGGGGAGGGTGAGGTAGATAAAGGTAAGCAAGGGGAGGGTGAGGTAGATAAAGGTAAGCATGGGGAGGGTGAGGTAGATAAAGGTAAGCAAGGGGAGGGTGAGGTAGATAAAGGTAAGCATGGGGAGGGTGTGGTAGATAAATGTAATCAAGGGGAGGGTGTAGTAGATAAAGGTAAGCAAGGGGAGGGCGAGGTAGATAAAGGTGGGGAAGGCGAGGGTGAGGTAGTGAAAGGAAGTCAGGGTGTGAGTGAGGTAGATAAATGTAGTCAGGGTGTGGGTGAGGTAGATAAGGGTAGTCAGGGTGTGTGTGAGGTAGATAAAGATAGTCAGGGTATGGGTGAGGTAGATAAGGGTAGTCAGGGTGTGGGTGTTGTCGATAAAGGTAGTAAGGGTGAGAGTGAGGTAGATAAAGGTAGTCAGGGTGTGGGTGAGGTAGTCAGGGTGAGAGTGAGGTAGATAAAGGTAGTCAGGGTGTGGGTGAGGTAGATAAAGGTAGTCAGGGTGTGGGTGAGGTAGATAAAGGTAGTCAGGGTGTGGGTGAGGTAGATAAAGGTAGTCAGGGTGTGGGTGAGGTAGATAAAGGTAGTCAGGGTGTGGGTGAGATAGATAAAGGAATGACAAAATGTATGGAAGAATGACGTCACATGAGAAAGATAGTCCAGCAGAACACATTTTCTTTTATTCTTCACACTTGATATATAAGAAACAC